ATTTTTTTCCCCGTCTGTAAACTGACTTAAGGTGCCACCCAGCAGGGCTGGCGTGTTCCGTCCGCCCCCTTGACTTTGTTTTCCCCTTTCCCCGGTGGACCCTTCCTCGGCGCGGCATTTCCGGACGAGGGAGGCTGAAATCGTTGACCTTCGGCGTCCAGGCACGGCGCGGCACGGCGCGGTCGCTGGGCTGTGGGCGATCCGCACAGGTGGCGCGGCGGCGGCTCCGTTCCGAACGCCGTCGCTCCGTCTCTCTCGCACTCGCGGGGCGTCGCGGCGCGGCGCGAGAGAGGCGGAGCGGCGACGCTGTTCGGAACGGAGCCGCGTCGGCCTGCGCTCGCATCTGGCGCTGGAGCCTCCAGTGGAGGATACACTGCATGGCCCGGACGCTCCGCGCCGCTCTGCGTGCGGCGCGTGCTGCGTGGGACTGGCTGGAGCAGCCTCAGCCTCCAGTCGGCCAGGCTCCAGCGCGCTCCAGCGAGCTACAGCGGCCGAGGAGGCGACAGGGCGGCAGCACATGGCGCACGGTGGGCCAGGAGACCGGTGGAGGCGGCCAAAGCCCCAGACGCGTTTTGAGCTCCAGAGTCGCTAAATGGGACTCGAATCGAACGTGTGACCCCACAAATGGATTGCTCTCCGAACGAGGAATCCATTGGTGGGGTCACACGTTCGGTTCGAGTCCTGCTCAGCGACTCTGGAGCTCAAAACGCGTTTAGAGTTTTGGCCGCCTCCACCGGTCTTCTGGCCCACTGCGCCACGAGGTGGTCCGCGGAATCCCAGGCTGTCGACTTTTTCGCAGTGCACTGGACCACGCGGGCTAAGAGAAACTCCGAGGCTCGCTCTTCATACTTTATCGCGCTCCAATCACAATCGCCACATCGCGGCCCGGTCGGCCCACGCGACCATGGCCTGGGTCTCGCTCCAGTTGATTTAATGACGTCATTAGAATACGTGTTGTCGTTGTTGTTGCTTGGCTGCGACCAAGGGGCACCGACGATTAGCCAGCTGAGCCAGTCGGTACTGTGTCCGAGTCTTACGGTGTGCTTGGCAAGAGCGCGGAGGCTGGCAGCCTCGCTGGCGGCAGCGGCGGTGTGGCAGGCTGCTTTTTGGGTTGGCACCCTCTTACACCAAAACAGCAAAAAATAAAATATTTTTAAAATCCAAACGTATTTTTGCAAAAAAAAATTTCAATTTTTTTAAATTTTGTTTTTTTTTTCGAGTGTAGCCACTGCACCTTGGTGGTGGCCGCGCCGCAATCGGCACGTCCATCGACGCGGCGTCGACGGCGTGCTGTCCGAGCGGTGCTGTCCGTGTCCGTCCTCGGGCGACGACGACGCCGTGTCTATCGCGCGCTCATTGGGAAGCAGCGCGACGCACGCGCGAGAGTTGGGCGCGCGCCGAGGAGGTCCGCGTCGACGAACTAGCATTGCTGTCATTCAATTAAGGCTGTTTTCACTGATTGGTCCCGATAGTCTTTGGAGCTGCTCTTTCGGCGTCAATAGCAAACACTAAATTTCGGTGGTTTTTTTTTTTTCGCGCGAGGGTAACTTTTTTTGAAATTTGGCCCGCCCCGCTGGCGCACTGTGCGCTCTCACGTTGGGCACACTGCTGAGAAAACCCCGACGGGTTCCCTGATTGGCGCCCCGGGCGGCGGCTCGCCACGGCCCGGCGGCCCGGCGCCTGGATTAGCGTGCCGCGGTCACAAAGAGTGGCAATCTGCGCGCCCATTCCGAGGAGCGTCGCGTCGTCTCTCTCGCACCCACGGGGCGCGCGGCGGGCGTGCGAGAGAGACGGCGCGAGTGACGTCTCATTCACGACGAGGTGGTGAATGGCGGCACGGCGCTGCACTGGTATTGACGGCAACGGCCCCTTGTTGTGCAACGAGCTTTGCCTTTTGTTGTTGTTGTTGTTGTTGTTGCTTTTTCGGCAGTGTAGGGCCCGTCTCGCCTCATTGCAAGTCGCAGCCGCAGCGGCGCCCCGCCCGGTGCTTGGAATATTGTCATTGGCGCGCCACGGGGCAGCGGAGCCACGGATGACTCATGCACAGTGCACGCCCAAAACCCCAAAGACAAACAAGCGACGGATCTAAAAATTCGGAAAAATGGTATTCGCAGGGAGTAGAGAGGAACCCGCATTGCTTTGCGACCTCGCAGGCTGGCGCGGCCGGGCAGGCGAACCCCAGACGGTGCAGCCAAACTGGTTGCGAGCTGTCATTGTGTCCTCAGGCTGCTCAGGACGCCGCTGTCCGACGCTGTCCTGCACGGGGAGGGTGAGGGCCTTCCCCCTCTCCGCGGTGCCGGCCAGCCCGGCTAGCCTGCAGCCAGGCGGGCCGGCCGGCTAGGCCTAGCGCCGGGGCTTGGCTGCCCAGTGGCGGCCAGTGCCTCGCTGCTAGCCGCTAGGTCGCAGCGCACCGCCCAGCCCGCCCAGCCCGCCAAGCCCTTGCCGGGTCCGCGTCCTTTGCGACCAGCGCAGCCACCAGCGCGCCGTGAGGCCATCAGGCCGGCGAATTTACCGCCGCCGTTCGCGACCCCCACCCCGTGGTGGTGCCCCAACGGCCGGCGTGCCGCAGCGTGCCGCAGCGTGCCAGAGCGTGCCACCGCCCACGCCGCGGCCCGGACTGGCCTTGACCACGGCCTGCCCGGCGCGTGTGCCACCGCGTGAGTGTGTGCGTGCGTGTTTTCCGCAGGTGAGTTCGACAACCTTACAGTGTGCGGAGCGCGAGCTGGGCGTGGTGTGGGCGCCGCCACCGCGGCCGTCGCCAAAGCCCACCCAAAGCCCCCCGCGCTGCACTCGCTCCGTCTCTCTCGCACCCCCGCGGCCTGCGCGCCGCCCCGCGCGTGGGAGAGAGACAGACACACCGCGGCCACTCCCTTCGAGTCCGCCCCTTTCTCAACCCCTTATCAGACTGCGCAAAAAATCGGGTGACTTTGCGCCGCTGACAGATGGCTGCGTCCTTCGCTCTCGCTCTTTGCGGGTCGAGCCGAGGGAGCGAGAGAGACGGAGCGACGACGTTGTTGAGAATCTGTCTTGTGTCGAATCTCAGAACGCGTGCTGCGCGTGGCACGGGCCACGGACGCGGCGTCGTCCTGACAGCCTTGGCCGTGCTCTTGGGGATCGTCCGTCCGTCTGTCCGTCTGGTCGTCGTCATTTTGGAATGGAATGTCCCAGACAGTCGTCCGCGCCGCCCACCGCGCCTCGCGCGCCTCCGCCGTCGGTCCGGACGTCCGCCACAGTCCGCCGCGACGCCAATAGGCACGAAGCGCCAAGCACGCCGAAAGGCAAGAAGCGTTTACTGCCCGGCGCCTCCACTTGGCTTGCACGTCCGCCCGTCTGTCTGCCCATCTGTCACTTGAATCTGACTTTGAAACCTCTCAGCCGCGTTTTGAGCTCCAGAGTCGCTGAATGGGACTCGAACCGAACGTGTGACCCCACCAATGGATTGCTCTCCGAACGAGGAATCCATTGGTGGGGTCACACGTTCGGTTCGAGTCCCAGTTAGCGACTCTGGAGCTCAAAACGCGTCCGGGATTTTGACCGCCTCCACCAGTTTTCTGGCCCACTGTGCGGCCCTTCCCGCCCCGCCCCACCACGCCACTGCCTCCTCCTCGATCCCATCCCTGTCATCGGCCCGCTCCTCACCGGCCCGCCGTAAAGCGAGTGCCAAGTGCGACAATGTTGCAGTGGCGTGGCGGCGCGGCGAGGTGCGAACGCTCCGCGAAGTACTACAATGCCGGCTTTACGATGTCCACCTGTAGGCTGACAGTGCCCTGTCTCTCTCGCACTCCTGGGCCGCTCCAGGGGTGCGAGAGAGACAGCGACATGTCCGGAATCAAGCGGCTGCGACTCGTGCGCCCCGAACTCCATGGACAAGCAGTACTCCGCGTTTTTTACGGGCTGGACGTGCCGGACAACGACACTGCACTGCACGCCGTTCGGCGGAAGGACACTCTCGCAGTCGTTCGCGGTGTAGGCGCACTTCCGCGCGGCAGGCGGAGCGGAGGGAGGGTTCACTGTAATAAATTTGGAGGGGGGAAATGTTAAGCCTTTACAAGCGGGCGCGGCGTGCCGTACGTAAACGCGTTTGGCGCGGCCGGCGCGGCCCACGCCCGATAAAGAGACTTTTACTGGACAACGCGAGTGTCGCGGCCCGACGCGTTTGAAAGGGGCCGCGCGTAAGGGGACTGCCTGTCCGCGTCCGCCTTACCGTGTGCTAGCCAAAATAAATTCGGAAAAATAATTTTTTTTCTAAAAAGAGGTATGGAGGTTTCTTTATGTTTTAAAAGCTTGCCCTGGCCTTGTTCTGCGAAGGGAACATTTTTCGCGTTGAATTGGAACTTTTACAAGTTTTTGAAATTTTTAAAATTTCCCTGGTTTGCCGCTTCCAGCGACCCGCCAACGAGCCCGCTACCCAGTGGGCCACTCGGTACAGTAGCGGGACGGGCCCCGCGGGCCCCGCCGTGTGGCATAGCATTCCTTATAAGGCACCCCGGCACGGCGACCAGTGCAGTCCGAGGCAGGGCCGGACGGCCCGTACACTGGAAAACCTCTCCGGCCCTGGAGACCCTGGAGAAGCGTGCGGTTTTCTCCGGAGGGGCCGTCCTCAAAGTCGGACAAAATCCCTTTTTTTGCCGCGAGACGAGTCTTCTCTTTGTTTTGTTTACTTGCGACGCCACCCTGCGACTCAATGACTCAACCCTCCGGTCGATACGTCTGGACGGCCCGCCGCGGCACGCCCAGTGGCCAGTCAGTCGCTCTGTCTCTCTCGCACCGACACGGCACGCCCCGCGAGTGCGAGAGAGACAGCGCGAGTGCTGTGCGCGGATTGAGTCCGGCCGGGCCGCGCTACGCAAGGCGAGCCACTCCCTTGCATGCACTTTTCTCTCTTTTGATTATTTTGATTGCGTTCGAGTCGTTTGGCCGGACGGCCGCAGTCTGCCTGGCCTGATACGACGCCCGCACTGCCAGTGTCGCACTGGAAATGATGCGAGTTTCGCCATCTTGTTGGGTTGGCCGAGCGGTTTAAGGCGTCGGATTCTGGATCCGAGCCCCTCTGGGGTCGCAGGTTCGAATCCTGCACCTGACGCACATTTTTTTCCACGCTAGGGAACCGGTGCAATTTGTCTTGTCCTAGAATTAGTCTCCGAAGCGCGCGGGCAGGTACGAGTAAAATTATTCCCTGCGGGCCCCGCGTGGCCGCGTGCCCCGTGCGGGGGCGGCTGGGGCTGGGGCTGGCTGCACGTGCTGTCGTGGCACGGCCCCAGAATGCTGGCGTCCTCGTCGAGGTCCCCGTCGGCGAGGTCCCCGTCGTCGCGGGGCGGCTTCGCGGCCCGCGGGGCCCGGTGCGATAGAGGTGGACTCAGGTGAGTCAACGGCCAGGAATAGCAGACGGCGGCGGGGCGGGGCGGGCGGCGGAGCGGCGCGCAAGCCCAAGGCACCTCTCGCGACCCGCACCGCCGGCGCCTTTCCCTCAAGGAAGCGCCAGTGCCGCCCCCGCTGCCCCCGCCGCCCCCGGACGAGGCCGAAGGGGCGCCAATTTCGCGGCGCGCACTCAATTAGTGACCCTTGAGGCCCTTGCGGCCCTTGCGGTGTGGGCCCCGCCGGCCCTGCAGGCCATTCATTCGTCTTTATGGACACTCATTCATAGGCGAGTGTTGTTTGGCACCTCGCCGTGCGCTCTTCGTTCCGCTCGCTTCGACACCGCGCCGTAAATTACCCAGTGTCGCGTGCGTGCATAGACAACCTACGGTGTTTGGTTAGGTTAGGACAGTGGTTCGCAACCTTAGAGTCGCGACTCCAAGTGGGGTCACGAAAAAAAATTGAGGGTCGCGGCGATGTGGCAGGGGTCGCCTGGGGTCGCGGTGGTTTCGTGGCTGGCCCACAGGCCGAGCACTGCCGGGAACATGAATTCGCGGAAACTGCTCAAAAAGTCGTGTTTTGGGCCGACTTTATGCAGCCACTGCGTCCGATCCGAGGCGGGCCTTCGTACTTTCTCAACGGGCATTTGGTCTTTGGACCTTCCTTTAGCATGCCTTTGTTGCGGAGTGCGATTATCTGCCTTTGTTTGGGAGCAGTATTTGCTCAAAGTTCATCAAAACAGTGAAAAATGCCTTTGAAAAATCGTGTTTTGGACCGATTTTAAGCAGCAACTGCGTCCGATCCGAGGCGGGCCTTCGTACTTTCTCAACGGGCATGTGGTCTTTGGACCTTCCTTAAGCATGCCTTTGTTACGGAGTGCGATTATGCGCCTTAGTTTGGGTGCAGTATTGTCTCAAAGTTGATCAAAACCGACTTTAAAGGCATTTTTGACCGTTTTGATCAACTTTGAGACAATACTGCACCCAAACCAAGGCAGATAATCGCACTCCGTAACAAAGGCATGCCAAAAGAAGGTCCAAAGACCAAATGCCCGTTGAGAAAGTACGAAGGCCCGCCTCGGATCGGACGCAGTGGCTGCTTAAAGTCGGCCCAAAACACGATTTTTTAAAGGCATTTTTGACTATTTTGATCAACTTTGAGCTGGCTCATTGCTTGCCTCTTTCTCATTTCCGAGTCGGCCGGCCGCCTTTGGGTTCGCCGGTCGTCGCATAAAGTTGTCTCCAGTGCGGGCGGGGCGGGGCGGGGCGGGGCGGGGCGGGGCGGCTCCGTTTCCGCCGCACTACAACGGGCGGGCCAACGGGACACTTTCCCGCAAGCGTGTCCCGTGTTCCGCGTGCGCGAGCCTGACCGAGCCGCACCGCCGCATTTGAATTCAAATTGAGAGAAATGGCCGGTGTCTCGCTGTCCCCGCCCCGGGACGTGACGGCCGACCCGAGCGCCCCGTCGCTCCGTCTCTCTCGCACCCGCACGGGGCGCCCCGCGAGTGCGACGAGAATGTGTCTGCAGGTGCGGTGCGGCCGAGGCGGTGGGGCGCGGGCCTCGCGGTTTGAACGTTGGCGCCACGCGCCTGCGCAGTGCGCGCTGGCTGGCTGGCGAGGCCCCCGGTGGGGCTCGCTGGCGGCGGGGGCCCGGCCCGTGCTCGGCCCGAGGGGCTCGTGAGGGGGCCTGCCCGTCGCTTCCGAGGAGTCTCCTCGCCGCGCGGTCTCTCTCGCAGCCGCAGGGCGCCCCGTCGGGGTGCGAGAGAGCCAGCGCGGCGGGGAGGGTCTTCGGAAGGGCGCGGCTGGCGCGGCCTGGGGGGCGACGCGGTTCGGCCGCTGCCTCGCCGCTGCCTCGCGGCACCGCGGTCACTTCCCGGAGCCCCTCGCTGCCAGGAGCGCACGGCCGCCAGGAGGTGGACCGGCCGGCGGCGTCGCGAGGCGGCGTCGTGACGCGTTCGCCGCGCGTCCCCGCCACCGCCAAGTGGAGCCTCGCTGCGAGCGGCGCTGCTGAGCCCCACCCATCGCGGCCCGAGCGGCGCGTCGGTGCGCATGCCCGCGGAGGCCCCCTCCCTCTCACTCGGCCGGCGAAAGCGCGCCAAGCAGAGCCCGGCGCACCGCGTTGGACTTGCAGTGCAGCGGGCCGCTTGACCACTGTCCACCGCGTGGCCCGGCCCTGCCCGGCCGGCCTTTGTGGCCGTGCAGGCGGCCGCCGACAAACGAGGAGTCCGCCGTCTTCCGGCGCGGCGTGCTTGGCCTCCATGGTGTCCCTCAGGCGCCTGGAAGGCAGGTCGGCCTGTCGAACAGCGCTGCCCGCAGTGTTGCCTACCCTGGGCTCGCAGGCGCCATGCCGCCCGGGAGGCGGGCCGGCCCGTCGCACCGCGCTGCTCTGCAGTGTTGCCTACCCTGGGCTCGCAGGCGCCGTGCCGCGCCGTGCCGCGAACACTGACCTCCGCCCTGGCGCGCGACATTATTTTCCGCGACGGCGCGCTGCTGGCGGTCGCCCTGACGGACCTGACGGACGGGCCGGCGTGTGATTTATTTCTGACCCTAGGCGGGCCCTAGGTGAGAGCCCTTCAGCCCAGCTGTCAGCGGACAGTCACTAGTTCGAGGAGCACTTCCGATTGGCGTCCGTCGACGCCGACCTGGCCTGGCGCGGCGGCCTCGACGGCCAGGTGCTGACGGATTGCCTGCCCCGGCCAGCACCGGCCCGCCCGCTCGGTGGGTACACTGCTTCACCGGGAGAAAGACACATCGCCGCCACCGAGCCGCACTAAAACCACGCGCACTCACTCACGCTCACACACACACACACACACACACACACACACACACACACGACAAGATCGCGCGGTGACGAATAGGGTCGCCTCTTCTCCGTTTCCGGCCGCACGCTGCTGCGCACCCACACCGTCGGGCAGGGCCGCGTACAGCCCCACTGTGCGTGTGTGAGTGTGTGTGTGTGCCCCAGTCCAAGGACCTCCAAGTATCCTTATTTGGGCCGCATACAAATGTCTGAGGAGTCGACGTGTCGAGCCCGCCACTCGGCCGGGCGCTGCGCTGCGCCTCACGCTGCAAGGACGGAAGGAAGGAACACCTCGCGGAAGTCGGACGCCATTCGAGACGCAGGGGGGGGGGGGGGGCAATTAATTTGACAGTGGTGTGCGCGCACTCTGAACGGTAACAAGCGTGTCGACTGCGACAGATTGGCCGCACCGGTGGAAAGGTATGTGTCCGTTGACCAGTGTGCCCAGTATCTGTCTCTCTCCAGTGATATGGCTTGGCGATGGAGGAACTTACGGTGTGCCCCCCCCCCACACACACACACACACACACACAAACGCACGACTCGCACGCGGTGTTGGCGATAAAGGCTTCGCGAAAGTCACTCGTTGGCGGTGCCAAGGAACTGCTCTGTGTGTGTGTGCGTGTGTGTGTGGCTCGTCCTACGACCGTTCCATCCGGGCATGACTCGGTGCCAAATATCGCTGCCACCCCCGGACCCCGCCCCGTCTCTCCAGCTCTCCAGGCCTATAGTTGGTGCGCGGTGCCCGGCTTGTAGTGCTGTAGGCGTTCCAGCCGCGGACTCCAAAGCCTGGAAGTGCTCTCATTTTTTTTGTGCTCCCTGTCGTCGCGCTGTGTTCTCCGAGGAAGATGAACAATAAAATAAACATCTGCTCGTCAAAAACATTTTTGAAACAAAGGGCGAACTTTGCTGATAATTTTTCAAACTTTGCTGTAGGACTGCTCGAAACTAGAAGTCGAAAATCCAGCACGGGAAACTCCTCCCGTCTCTTCGCGGGCAGATGTCGCTCCTAGAAAAGCAGCGCGCTCTTTTTGCGCGCGGCGTGGATTCGCGCTTCTAATTGGCTGGAGACAATTTTTAATTTCGTCAATTTCCATTCCTCGGCCGGCCTGGTCGGCCGGGCTGTAAAACACAATTTAGCAAAACGCGTGAAAAAATGAAGAAGGCGCGCGCGATTAAAAAAGACAGCGCTATAGGCCCCATGCCCACTCAGCCAGTGCTCCGTGTGTGACGTCACGCGCCCACACAGCCTCCTGCCCCCCTCCTCTCCAGCCGCCTGTCTCCTCCACGCCCCATGGCGAGGCACAGCCAGGCAGAGGCAGGCGGAGTCGTGCCAGTGGGTGCCTCACTTCCGCGCCGATCGGTTGCAGCATCGAACGGTATCGAGTATCGAACATCGATCCGCGTCTCTGATCGACCCAGTCCCAACCGTGACCGCGCTCCCCCGAGTTCTTCCAGTGTGCATGTGTTTGTGTGGGATTTTAGCTAATTGAGTTCAGTGTTGAACAGGTGTGGTGTGGTTCAAAGAAGTGGAAAACAAGGTGCTTTTATTTTGAAGATTTTGTTTGGAAACTCGTGCTGGACGAGATCTAGTTTTTTTGTGGTGTAGCTAGTGTGTGGCTCTAACCATGCTGCGATCCCCGCAACTCGTCCGGAAGTTTGCCCCGCAAGGCAGTGTCAGCAGAGGTACGTGACCACACTGCGGAAAATAACCGAAAGTGTCAATATTTTTGTCAAAGTTTCTAGACAGACATGGAAAGAAAATGACTTTACTTGTTCCGTGCCCTCCCCTCCTGGCAATTTTCTCATTTTCGATGACGGTGTGTGTGTGTGTGTGTGTGTGTGTGTGTGAGTGTGTGATGATGGGCTCGCACTCGCTGCGCTCCTCCAACCTTGACCCGGTGACCCAGTCTCTCCCTTATCGTGCCGCGGTGCATGCGGGCTGTCACGCTTGTCATGTCTGTCTCTGAAGAGCCTCATGAGGGACCTCTCCGAAGTGCACAGGACCTCAACGCAGGGCTTTAGGCGGGCCCGGCTCAGTCATTTTGGAAGCATTTTACTACCTGACATGAGGTGTACCTTGCCGCATCTTTAAAGCAATTTTTTTCTGAATGTTTTTTTTTTTTTCAAATTACTCGGGTGCCTGTCCGTCCAGGCCGTCGCGTCTGCATGTGCGCGCCAGCATGTGCTAGCCCGCAGTAGGCGATGCAGGCGGGGCCGAAGAATGTGCAGTGCTCGCCGGTTTTGCGCGCCTCTGCTCCAGACACACACACACACACACACACACACGTTCCCTTTGGTGGCGTCCCTTTGTGTGCGTGTGCTTACGCGGCCTTTGTCAACGCGACTCGCGATGCGTACCGCCACAGGCCTCGCGGCCGCGGCGGGCAGACCGCCTTGGCAGTGCAGCAGCGACGCGACACACGGCACGGCGGGTAGGGTACCCAGGTGCCGACAGTGTCGTGGCCGCAGTCATGGCGGAGGCCAGCATCACCGCCTGGGGCTCCTCGGGCGCGTCCTCGCCGGACCTGGCCACTCTGGGTGAGTCGCGTCGTCGCGCCTCTGTGTCCGTCCCTCTCGCTCCGCGGCTCCGCGGCTCCGCGGCGGTGGCGGGCACACTGCGGTGCGAGAGGGACGGCGCCACTGCAAGGCGCAAGGCGTGGCCGCGAATGGTCATGGCGGCCGCGCCATGCCGCGCCGATCGAATGAGGGGGCCGCCACGGTAACGAGCAGCTGCTGGAGTGCCCGGCGTGCTTCTCGATCGTGTGCGAGAGCGAGAGAGGGAGAGAGAGAGAGAGAGAGAGAAGGAAGAAGAGAGAGGGAGAAAAACAATTGGGCCGGCGGCGCGAGGCGAGGCGAGGGCGTCCGTTCCACCATGGCCGTTTGGCGCGCTTAATTTTGAACCCGCCTCTAAGGTTAAAGGTCACCTGTTTTTTGTGAGTGTGTTGGTGGTGTGACTGTGTTTACTTTTAGTGGCTAGAATTTTCCCAATTTGGGGCCGGCGGTTTTAGCTGCTCTTGCCAGGCGTTGACACTCGACGCGAGGCTAGTCCTGCCGCGTGTTCAAACACTGTGTCGTTGTGCGCCGCGTCTCTCTGTCGCACGGTTGATAACAAGGATGGCGCATCGTCCCCGTCCAAGGGATGCGCGTCTTCATATTTTTATCTCTGTCGTCGCCGAGGTCGCCGGGGGGTTCCTCCTCAAACGGCCCCTTGTCGCTCTCGCTCTGTGCGACTTGCATTCTAGGAACCCAGAGAGTGAGCGTGCGGAAATAACAACGATACGGACTGCAGAACACAAACACACACGCGCGCGCCCAAGAAAATGATCAAAATTGGTTGTTGCCATGTCTGCGTGAAACAGAAACCCTCTGTGTTTGTGATTGTGCCGCCGCCTGATTGCTCTGTGGCCTTCCAGATGCGCTGCTGGCGGACCTCCAGAACACCATCACGCCCAGCCAACCCCCGCCGCTGTCCCAGTCTCCCACCGGATACGGCTCCCTCAACGGCGCGCCTGCCCGCTACTCCCCCGCGCCGCAGTCGGTGAGTACGCAGTGTAGCAGTGCCTCTCTCTCGCACCCAGACGCCCCGCGAGTGCGAGAGAGACAGAGCGAAGAATCCGTCCTCAGTTTCCGAAGCACTGACGAGGACGGCGATCCCGGTGGTGTCCGGTCGTACCGTTTGTCCAGTCGTCACCATGGCGACCGTCGCGCCGCTCTGGAGGCTCTTGTACTAGTTGCCCAGGTTTTAACGGCGTGCTTGCAGACGCTCCGCACAGCAGACCGATTCCCAGAGTCGTCGCTCTGTCTCTCTCGCACTCACTGGGCGCCCCCTGTAGGTGCGACAGAGACAGAGCGACGGGGATCAGTCTGCAGACACCCCCCTCCCCTCAGTTGTCCGCACCCTTTCGCGCCACTGCTGTTTACAAACACTCCTCTCTCTCCGCGTTCGCCGCGCTGCTGCGTTCGCTGCGCTCGCTACGCGCCGGGCGCCGCCAACAGGTGCCAATGGGGTTACCGACGTTCGCCCAGGCGCCCACCAGCAAAAAAAACTCATCAAATTTTGAAAAGAAATTAAATTACACGGTTGTTTGGACCGAAAATGAGCGTGCTGCTTCCTGGTTTCTTAACCGCAGGGAAGATAGGCGTTGTGCGACATCAATTTTCCATTTCCCCACAATTTTCGTTTTTGTTTTGTCAGTGTATCCATTATTTGAAAGTCGAAAGAGTGCTTATTCGTATAAGGGAAATTGCTCCCCACTCTTCGCGACGCGAATTCGGTGCGGAAGCGTGGCGGAAGTCTGCACTTGAGGGCATCTCTCTCCCTGCTCCCACATTCCCCGCGGCCCAGAAGTGCAGCCTCGTCTAGGATTCTGGCGCGCCCAGGATGCCCAGGACCCATATGCGGGGCGGGGCGGGGCGGGGCGGCCCCTCTGGGCGGGCGCGCGGGCGGCGGCGCGTAGAGGTATTAATAGCGAGGGTTCGGACTTCCGGCGGGGCGCGGTGCAAGGGGCGGTGTTACCAACCTTACCGAGGGCCGCGGCTGGACCGGCCGAAGCAGGACTAAGGCGCCAGTCCGCCGGACGGACGAAGGCACTGCCCCACCCAGGCCATTTCACATCTCTTTTAAAGAGAATGACAAACAAACGCGAATTGGGTGTCCAGACGTCCGAACGACGCTGCAGCAGTGGGTGTGCTCGGTTTTCCAACTGGAGTTTTGCGTCCTAAGCTTTGTTGGGTGAAAGTCGACTGTCCACTGTCCTGCCGAAGCAAGGCCACCGCCGAATGCATTTGGGCTTTCTGAACTTGGTGCCCGCCTAGGGTGGGTACTCCCTGTCGTCACGGGGTAGCGACGCGCCGCCTCGCACGCGCGTGCGCCCGTGCGCCGAGGGGTATCTTTCCGCCGTCGCTACCCCGCGTCGACGCCCTACCCTCCGCCGGGGGCGTCGCTACGCGCTGGGGTCTCGCTCTCTGACCGGTAGAGCGCGCCACTGCGCCACCGGGCCACTGGCGAGTCGCGAACACAGAACTGGCGAGAACTGGGCGACTTGGCGGCTGCCTCCACCCTCGGGCGGCACGCCGTCGACGGGCGGACAGCTAGGCAGACAGCTAGACAGACCCGTGCGTCCTCCACTGTCGCATCGGTTGGCCCCGCGGTGGGTAGGCCACCCATCGGGCGCGGCTGGTGTGCGGCCGGCCGGGCGGGGCGGGCCAACACGCGGGGGATCTTCTTGTCGTGCCGGTGTGCCGGTGGTGTGCGGGGGCGCGAAAAAGCTCTGCCGGGCCGGGCCGTGCGCACCGCCGGCGGGGCCTCGCTTTGGCGGGGCCTCGCTTTGGCGGGGCCACGTCGCGCTTGGGGATCGAGGTGATAACTCGGGGAAGGAAAGGCCGTGGAGAAGGGGCGTGGCCGTCAGAGAGAGAGAGAGAGAGAGAGAGAGAGAGAGAGAGAGAGAGAGAGAGAGAGACAGAGAGAGAGAGACAGAGAGAGAGAGAGAGAGGGGGGGGGGGCAGAGAGAGACAGAGAGAGCATGGCCGCGTCTTGGACCGCCTGCCGGTTTTAAATAGAGCGCCGCCCCTTTCCACGCACACACACGCACACATACACCCCTCCCTACAACACACACACGCTCACACACACACGCACGGGAATTTTCCCTAGGTGTAGGTGGTTCTCATAGACTGGTCACCATTTATCTGTGTGTGTGCGTGTGTGTATGTGTGACGAACTGAGCGTGTGTGCGTATGTGTGAGACTGACTGCAGTCCAACTCGCGCGTTCGGTTCAAGCCTCTGCCCCGCCGCCACCCCCGTTCAGCTGTCGACCGCCCCCGCACCGCCCCCGCACCGCCCCCCTGTCCCCCGCCGCCCCTCACTCACCGCCTGACTGGCCCCGCTGCGTCCGCGCCGCGCGGTTTCCCGCTGTTTTCGCGCTCTCTCCCTCCGCCGGGTACGACGGGGACCTCGAGGAGCGGGACGGACGTCTTGGGGGCGCCGGGCGAGATCCGCCGCGATTCGTCTCTGTCGGCCGAAAAGGGTTGTTGTTGTTGTTGGCGACCATTGGCAGCGGCGGCAACGCCGGCCTCCTCAAAGACACACATAAGGGAGGCCGTCATACGTGTCATTAAACGCGAGCGATAGCAAACAGGGACGGAGGCTGCCGGCGAAGGCTGCCGCCGACCGCCGCCGTGCCGGCCTTGGCGGCGTGCGCGGCGGCCAAGGGGCGGCGGGGGCGGCGGGGGCGGCCAAGAGGGACGGCCCGAGGGCAGAACAGATAGGCCGACCGGCTGGCGGGATTGCAAGTCGATTTGCAGAGTGGTGGTCGTCTCGTAGACCCTTGTCCTGACGGATTTTGTCTGGTTAGGTGGGTATTTTGGCTTACAGTAATCCGATGGAAACGAAGTGTTGACAAGAAAGGGGCTGTCTGATATCTCGTCAATGCTAATCTGCGTCCAAAATATTTATCTAATTTTTTCTATAAAACGTCGTGTACGGTGTTATGTTTTTAAGGCCCATTATTTTGGTCCATTCTATAAATATCGATCGGCAAAGCCTTGCCGTTCAGCCTTTAGCCCACGTGAGGGCCAAACAGCTGCGACGGTAGTTAGAAGGCTGCCGCCTGGGACTTCGGGGGAGTCGCGGAGGACGAAAGACGTTCAACCTCAAAAACAGAATTAGCTTCAAATTTGAGGGCAGTTAACGTCTGCGTCGCACGCTTGAGCTGTCGCAGGCGATGAAGTGACGACAGTCGCGGTGGCTTAGCTGGGTGGTTGCTCTCTGCTTTCGGGGTCCTCTGGACCTCGGTCTCGGATCCGCCAGTCTGTCTCGCAGTCTCTCCCAATATCGTCGGCACTGCGAATTTCCGAATTTCCCTGCCTTGCGCTGTGCGGGCTGTGCGGCTGTGCGGGTCCGTCTAGCAGGCAGCCAGACAGGCAGCCAGGCAGCCAGGCAGCCGCCCCGCTGACCTACATTCCTGCAATTCGGCGCGGATATTCGACTGGTGAAATCCCCGCGCACCGCGTTGCACCGCCGTTTGCGCATCATTTGAACTATTGACGTTTTGGCGCGCGGCTGCCCCGCTGTCACACCCGAAGAAAACAACAGAAGTCTGTCCGTCTGTCCGTCTGTTCGTCCGTCTCTCTCCCACGCGCGCGATATATCGGGCGGTGTTGCTGCGGCGGTGGTTACATCAGGGGTAAGAATAGCTTGGTGTCGGCTTGGCGCCGTGGTTATTCTCTCCCTTGACGAACCCCCCTCCCTCTCCCTCCCTCCCCCCTCTCTCTCTCTCTCTCCCCCGCCGCCTTTTCTTTATTATTTCTCGTGCCCTGCATGTAAATACCCGGCGAACTCGTCAGCCTTTCGCCTTTTTGCACACGGCGTCGCGAAAGAAGGGGGAGGGGGGGGAATGTTCCAACGCGCGACATTGGGTTTCAAGGCCAAGTGTGGGAAAAGCGGTCGGACGGAGGGGCCTAGTCCTTCCAAGTTTCGGCGTGTGGCGGGCTGTCTGCGGAATCGTGACTCCGACAATGCCTTGTCTCCTCTGATGCAGGAGGAGGGTGATACCTGTGATTTCTCCGGCGGGGCGGTCCCTTAGTGGAGGACTCAGCGTGCCGCGTGCATTTGACACTCCCCCCACCGGCCCACCGGCGAATGTTGTGTGTGTGTAGCAGCTCTCACCGTTCTTCGAGTTACACGGTGGATGTACAGCGGACCAGACAAACAAACAAACACCCGCTGAAACAGATTTTTCACATCAGTGCTCGCGGGTATCTGGCTTCAGTATCGTCCCGCGAAAAAAAAAGAAGACGAAAAGCTTTTTTTTTCCTCTCTTTCTTCGGGGGGCGTGTGAAGTGATGTTGCCTGGACGCCGACAAGCCTGGCGAGGGCCTGGCCCGGCCGGGGCGTGCCTCGCAATGCGAAGTCCGTCCCCGCTCGCTCCTTGTTTTACGGGTTTGTTGTGGACGGTGTTGTAGTGCGCGAGCATGAAGTGGGACCGCGCGTACAGTAGGCGGCCGGCTGTGCGCCGCGGGGGTGGGGAGGGGGGAAACCGCCCCACGCGTGTACATGGCGTTATTAAACAAGTGACGCAGACGACCAAATAATAAACCGACTCCCAGGGGCGACTTCCTTGAACGACTGCCACGAATCGGCCGTTGCGCCGGAAAGGCTCCGACTGCGCGTTATTAGGCACGCTTAGCTGCGCTCTGCATTGCGCGCTAAATCGTCAGAGTCGAATAGGCACGATGCGGTAACCTAACCTAACATAATCGTTCATTTCTTACGGATTTTGCGCGGGCTTTCTGAATCTCAATTTTTTTTTACATGTCGGCCTTACTCCAAAAGTGTACCGAGCAATAATTTAGCGTGTGGCAGCTGAGGCTTCCCCCGCGCAGTGTGGCGGCAGGGCCGGCAGGGCGCATGGGTCGGTGGCGGTCTGGGCTCTTGAGGCGCGCGGCCCGCCCAGGACCAGCACACTGTCCGAGAGTCGTCTTCGTCGCTCTGTCTCCGTCGCACTCACGGGGCGACGGAGTGCACTCCCGCATGGGTGCGAGAGAGACAGAGCGACGAAGGCGACTCTCGGGACCAGTGTGTCAGTCTGCAGGCCGAGGCGCAGGCCGGCCGTCCCGCTGGGGGTCTTCTTGGCGGGCCGGACCCACTGTAGGACCAGGCCGCACCTGTCTTTTGTTGGTCCCACTCTAGTGCCCCAGACGTCGCACAGCGCGCAGCGCCGCGGGGCGGAAAAAAAATGAAAACATATCGCGTATCTCGCGGTGAGACCGCCCGCCGTAGTGTCGCGCGTCACGGACACACTCACACACGTCAACACACCGAAAACACACACACACACACACACACGCCCTCGTTCGTGCGATCGCCCATTCTGCGAGAGCCTTCGCGGCACTATTCTTAGGCTTTGTACTTCAAAGACTTGGACGTCTTTCGCGACAGTTGACAAGCGCACTAAGTACTTCGTCTAGCGCTCCCCCAGCCAAGCGGCGCCGGTTCAAATACTGGCCCGGGCCTTTTTCCTTTTCAATTTTTGTACGCGGCAATGTGGCAGGCCGCGAAGCCGATCCTCCTCGTCCTAGAACGCAAACGCCCCTTTCTTGGCGCACTGTCTTTTGGAGCGCGAATTGGGTCACTATTATTAGGAGGCGGCTATTTCAGCCCGTCCGTCTTGCCTTTGTTTTTCCCTTTCTCTTCGACCGGGCGGAGCGGGGCGGAGCGGGGCGGAGTCATCGTCGTCTGCTTCACACGTCGGCGGTGTGACTGCCGTTGTCGTCTGCTAGCTGGGTGTGACATCGTGTGAGGGTGATTGTGCCCCGCGCCTATGTGTGCGAGTGTGAGTGTCAGTGTGTGTGTCTGTGTGTCCGTGTGAGTGTGGCTGTGTGGGGGTGGGGGAGGAGGGACGCTTTGGGGAAATGTAGGTGACGGCCACCACGGGACGTTTTTACTACGCTTCCTTCAAAATCGCCATTAATCGTGGCAGTTCCTGAGCAGTTTATCCTTTAGAAAAACAGTTTTTTTTACTGTGGCGTGGTAAACCAGCGCACCTTCCACCTCGCATTGCGGCGAAAAAAAATGTCCATTCATCGCGGGCAGACAGGCATCGGACACCTGCCTGCGTACGCGTTGGCGCGCGTCCAACACGGGCCAACCTCGAACCTCGGCGTCGCGCCGGTCGCCACGCTCGCCGTGCTCGCCGTGCTCCAGGTCGCGACCCGCCGCGCGCCGCCACGCCCCGACCCGCCCCACTGCGCGACCCGTACGACGGCTGCTTTTGGCACGGCGTCCTCGCCCCCGCGGCAGTGCAGCAGTGCCGTCACTGGGCGACACGCTCGCTCGCCTCGGCGACAACAAGAGCGTCTTGTCGGCGACGTGTTGCCGGCGGCGCTGGCAGCCGAGCGGCCCACCGATTCCGAGGGCCGATTGCGTCGCTGTCTCTGTCGCACCGACAAGGGGCGCGCCGTGAGTGCGAGAGAGGCAGCCCGACGAAAACAACTCTCGGAATCGGTCCGTTGGTCCGCTATTGGCGCAGAGGTTTTTCGTTTCGTTTTGGAACGCCGCCGCACCGGAAGTGGTGTCCGACGGGGATGCGCGGGCGTGGCGGGGCGTGGCGGGGCGTGGCGCGGCGTGGCGTTAGTGCACATGTGGCGTTCGTCCTTGCGCAGCCTTAGCGGCGCGGCGGCGGCGACGCTGGCGCGCTCTACATGCGCCGGGCGGCGCGGGCGTGTACTAGTGTACCAGCGCCGAAGGGACTGCCGTGTGTGCTGTGTGCCACGGCACTGCTTACGCTTACGCGGCCCCGACGCCGAAGGACTCCTTGCTCGCCATTTTTCGCGATTCCGGTCGATCCTCTTTGGCGGCGCACAGTGGACCAGATGACCGGCGCAGTCGGCCAAACGCGTTTTGAGCTCCAGAGTCGCTAAGCAGGACTCGAACCGGACGTGTGACCCCACCAATGGATTCCTCGTTCGAAGAGCAATCCATTGGTTGGGTCACACGTTCGGTTCGAGTCCCATTTAGCGACTCTGGAGCTCAAAACGCGTCCGGCGTGACCGCCTCCACCGGTCTTCTGGCAAACCCACTGTGCGGCGCCGCCCCTCGTGACTGGGTGTGACTGGGCGCGCGACGCGCCGCGTGACCGATGCGGCTCCTGCCATTGTTTGCCACTCGCCGCGCTTGAACCGCCCCGACACGCATTGTGCTGTCGCCGAAAGTGCGGACCGCGCGGACGGCCTGTGTGACTTCGGCCGCGTTTCGCGGATAAATTGGACCGGCTTTGCCGTAAAGGCCCGCCACGCCACGCCCCCGATCGACGCATCACACTGCCATCATTCGTTTCCGTTTCGCGGCAGTGTTGTGGACTTTGAGCTGGACTTCGTTTTCACAAAAAAAAATTATTATTGACAATTTTTGCTTTACAGAAAATGTGTAAAAGTTGTCAAAATAGATCGGACTTGCCGCCAAGGCTGGGGCGCTGGGGCCTTTGTAGAGCATGCGCCGTGGCGCGCAGAAATCGCGCCAAATCTTTCCACACTGGCCCCATCCGGTGCGACACACTTGTTGTTGCCAGCTTTTTCGGGCCGCGTTCGTTCCGGTCGAAGATAAAAATCGCTTATGCCCGCGTCCCCCCCCCCTCCCTCAGAAATATGTCGCGCCAGGTGTATGGCTGTAGAGACGGCCCGGCGGCCTCGCCCCTCGCAGGCCGGCCCGGTCCTCTCCACGAGCTCCAGTGCGTGTGGTTCACCCGGTTCACCCCCGGCGTTCAAGTCTCCGCCCACCGGGCGTCCAATTCTCCAGCCGTCAACCCGCAACCCGCTCAGGGGCTGACTTGCCTTCCCTCCCCACAGCGAGTGCGGCCCGAGGCCTTGACGCCTTACGAGGCCCGGATAGGCAATCCCGCCCCGCGCGAGACGCGGCAGTGCGGCGGGCCTGCCTACCCGGGCCTCGTAAGGCGTTCCGTCCAGGGTGCAGCAGTGGCAGCGCGGCGGGGCGTCAGGGGCGTCCGCGCGCCGCACCGCCAGCGCTGGGCGACGGCCAACCGCCACCCTTGCAGTGCACGTGCGCCGCGCCGCTTGTCGCCAGCTCGGTCTGCCCCGCCGGCACCGCGGGCACCGCGTGCACCGCCTTCCTTCCGTGTACTCTGTCGTCGTGCAGAGTAATTACCAGCTCACCGCCTTGTCGCCCCGCCCCGCCCCGCCCTGGTGGCCGTGATGAACGCGGCAACGCGGCTGCATTTCGGCTTTTGAATTATGGCGCGAACTGGCGGGCTGGCCGGCTGCTAACGAGGTGCCGGTGCGGCTCGGCACGGCTCGGTCCGCGGTTTGGGGAGCAGGGAGCGTGCACAGACACTGACCTCTTAATCGCGGCGCAGTCCATTAGCAGGACCTGACGTGAATCCTGCGGACAGACGAGCCGTGACACGCGGCTAGCCAAATAGCGGCCCGCCGCACCGCCAGACCATGCGCCAGGCCGACAAACCTACAAACCGCACAGTGGGCCAGAAGACCGCTGGGGGCGGCCAAAACCCCGGACGCGTTTTCAGCTCCAGCGTCGCTAAACGGGACTCGAACCGAACGTGTGACCCCACCAATGGATTGCTCTCCGGACGAGGAATCCATTGGTGGGGTCACTCGTTCGGTTCGAGTCCTGTTTAGCGACGGGCTGTTCGGCGCAGCCAAGTGTACCCGGTACTCTCACCTTCTCGCTCACCTTTATCCCCCCACCTCGCGCTCGGGTGCAATTAAGACGCGGTTCTTTGCACCTGTTGGCGCGGCTGCTGCCCGATAGAGGAGCCTCTGTGCTCGCGGACCGATTCCGAAGAGATTCTTTTTCTGGCCGCCTGTTTTGTCGCGTGCCCTCTGGGACCTGTTAATTTCCGAGCGTGCTGGCCGTGCCGTTTGGCGGGCGCGCACTTGGACCGGGTTTAAGTGTGTCATTGTGGCCAATCATTTTACGGCGTGCTCTCAATGTAGTGGCGACGAGGCTTCCCCCCCCCCCCCGTTCGCCCCTCGCCCGCGTAAATGGGTCAAAACAAAGCGCCGGCCGTTCCAAAGGTGGCGTCCTCCCTCGCCGTCGCGGTCCTCCTCGTCGTCGTCCTCTGGGCGGCGAGGGCGTCGGACTCGTAAACCGTCCCGAAATCCGACTCGTCGGGGCCGTTTGGCCGTTTGGCCGTTTCGGCCCGTGAGTGACTCCCGCGTCTGATTGGAAGTCGCTTTGCGAGCTTTCGCCTGCTTTCGCAGCGCGGCCGAAAAACGCTGCAAACGCGGCGAAGTGCGGCCCTCTTGATTTACGCGATTTACATTATTATGGCTCTGCCGCTCCGCCTGTTTATCTGGGCTTTGTGCCCGCGGCGTCTATTTCGGGCGGCCCGTATCATTAAGCATGCACTGCTTCTTTTTAGTGTCGCGCGAGGGCGCGTCCCGAAGCCAGGACCCCTTTTCGGTCAGTCACGTGTCCATCAAGTCCCCCCAAGCTCAGTAGCCACCAACTTGGCAGAGTCATTTTTAAATTTTAGCCTTATTGGACCCGTTTTCTGTGTTGCAGCCCACCTACCAAAACTCGTCCATGGTGAACGAGATGGCCACCACCAAGAGCTACACGTCGACCACCAAGACCAACGCCCTCAACAACAACCTCTCCGAGCTGGACACGCTGCTGCAGGACCTGAGCAACGCGCGCTACTCGGGCGGCACCACCACCACCACCATGGAGAGGGTGTCTGGTGAGTTTACCGCCGGTGGAGGCGGTCAAAATCCCGGACGCGTTTTGACCTCCCGAGTCGCTAAATGGGACTCGAACCGAACGTGTGACCCCACCAATGGATTGCTCTCCGAACGAGGAATCCATTGGTGGGGTCACACGCTTGGACCTGCGTTCCCGGCCTCACCCTGTGTCTTTGCGCTGCTTGCAGACAGCCTCAACGGCGGCTCGGAGCCGGTGGTCAAGACGACGAGGACGGTAAGCCACGCGCGGCCCTCCGTGGACAGCCTCCTGGACGAGCTCAGCACCGTGGTGCCCAACGGGTGAGTCGGGGCTACTCCGCGCGCCAGGGACTCTCCATGCTTGCCTTACGTACAGGGCCGCATTGTGGCCGCCGCGTGGGGTATTGACGCAACGGACCCACCTGACGGCTGCCGGCCTTGGGGGTTTCCCCCTCGCCGTCGTCGGAGCGTCTCCACTCTGCTTTGTGGTAATGCCCCCGCCAGTGGGTCACCTGGCCAGCAGACTGATTCCGAGAGTCGCTCTGTCTCTCTCGCACTCACGGGGCGTCCCTAATGGGTGCGAGAGAGACAGAGCGACTCGGCATCAGTCTGCTGGCCGGCCTCCGCGTCGCGCCGCCGCCGTGTCGCGTCGTCGTCGTGGGGCCTGCCGATGCAGTGGTGCCGTGTGAACCGAAGATCCCGCCACCCTATCCCAAGGCCCGGCGATCCCGCTCCGCCCGCTCCGCACGGCCCCAAGGCCGCGTCCCAGAGCGCCTCCCTGCTCCCTCCGTCTCTGTCGCGCCAGTCGCGGGCCGGTGCCGGCCGCCGGGAGCGACGGAGAGGGAAGATTTCGTCTTCGAAGGCGGCCCCAGGCGGCGTGGCCCAGGCCGTGGCGCCCGCCCAACTTTTTATTCACTCTATTTCCTTGAGCGGCGCGGGGCCGCCCCTGCCGCCTCCTCCCCTCTCCCCTTAATTTTCTTGCAACTCCCGTTTGTTTACCTGCAGGGAATCCCAGCCAGAAAGTGCGCCCATGAAAAAATTGCACTGTGTTTGTCTTGCTGACCGGCGCTCTTCTTTTTTTTCCGCGAGGATGTTCCTCTCTGTCGACGCGACTGTACGACGTGTGGATCCTCTGCGCAGCGGCCGGCCGTGGGTGTGGTCGGGTCAGGCGGGGCGGGGCGGGGCGTGTAGCTCGAGGCGCCACTCGGCAAGATATATGCATATTGTTTTCAAGGCCAGGGTCAGCCCCGCGCTTCATGGCAAGGGCTACGTGGGAAGGGACGATCGGGGGAGCGTGGGACCTCCATGGTGGGAGACTCATGGTGAGGGATGACTGCTGCGTGACCTCAAGGCAGTGCCGGGCCCGGTATGGCCTCTCACGTTCAAGTTCAAGTTCCTCCGGCGGGCGGCAGGCGCCCAGCATAGGCCATCCCCGCTCTGCAGCGCTCCGGTGCGCGGCGGGTGGCCTATCCCGCCTTCGTAAGGCGCTCGCCTGGCGGCGGCGCACAGTGGGGGCGGTCAAAATCCCGGACGCGTTTTGAGCTCCAGAGTCGCTAAACGGGACTCGAACCGAACGCGTGACCCCACCAATGGATTGCTCTCCGAACGAGCAATCCATTGGTGGGGTCACACGTTCGTTTCGAGCCCTGTTAAGCGACTTTGGAGCTCGAAACGCGTCCGGGATTTTGTCCGCCCCCACCGGTCTTCTGGCCCAGTGTATGTCCGCTTTCACACCGCCTGTCTACACACTTAAAACTCTACAAAGAACTGCTCTTTGTATTACAAAGAAAATGGCGGCTTCGCAGCCTGCGAAGGAAATCGTTTGTAATACGAACGATTTTCTTTGTAATACAAAGGAAAAATTCTTCGTAGACTACGAAGAACTTCTTCGCAGCTTGCGAAGGATTTTTCCTTTGTATTACAAAGAAAATCGTTCGTATTACAAACGATTTCCTTCGCAGGCTGCGAAGCCGCCGTTTTCTTCGTATTACAAAGAGCAGTTCTTTGCAGGAATTTATCTGTGTAACGCGGTCCGCCCTTTGCTTGGTGTTGCCAGCGACCTCCCCGACGGCCACAAGCTGCTGGTCAAGAAGGTGGTGTACGAGAGGGAGACGCAGAAGGCGCAGGCCGTGCCCAGCGCGTCTACGGCCACCCGGGAGCTGGACGACCTCATGGCCTCCCTCTCCGACTTCAAAGTGAGTGGAACGGCGACCTCGCACCTCGTGTTGTAATTGTGTCTTCTCCTCCAGCAGGCTCGCAGGCAGGATCCGATCGGAGCGCGGTTTTCCGATAAACAGTTAATTTTCAAATTGATGGGTGGGCCTTTATTTGGCCTTCTTGGCGCTGGCTCTTCGCCCCGCGCGTGGCTCGACGCTTGCTCCAAGTGGGTTGCCGTGTTCGCCATTTGCAAACACGCTGCACTCGGCGCGCTCACTCATCCACTGTTCCCCACCCTTCTTCCCTCTTCGCAGCTAGCGACGCAGGTCCCGAAGGCCCCGGCCTGGCAGGGCGCATCGCCGAGACGTGTTTTGCTCGCAGACCTGTCATAAAATTCACCCCGTGAACTTTTCTCATTCCAGTGGCTAAATGAATATTTCGCTCTGTTAGTTCGGACTATCGAGACGGTAACGGCCATGATGCGGAAAGTAAGTGGGCATGCTGGCGCCCATGGCGACATGGGGGATTGTTGTGTGTGGCTGTGTACCCCTCACAACCTAGACCAGCTAGTCGCATTGCTTGACGACGCCGCGCGTTTTGGCGTTTTCCTCTGCTCTTGGTTTTGTTTTTGATTTTTTTATTCACTCTTTTTTTGAAGCGAGTGCACTTTCTTCCGCGCTCCGGATGTGGCGCGTGCCTTTGTTTTCGTTAGTGCGTCCGCACTGCGTCGAGTTAACAAGGACTCCGCGATGCTCGCTACCTAGACGGCACAACCCGAATTAACTGAGTGTGGCCTTGGACATGCTGTCGACTAATCCCACCCGCTGGCATTTTGTTCATGGACTTTCCTCCCGACTATTAACAGCAGCGCCGGACTCCGGGTGACTCGAGAGACCGGCGGTATTTACTTTTTTGTGTTTATTTTTTCCTTTTGTTTTTCTAATTGTCGATGCAGTGGCTCGCCACCCTGGTTGCCATTCCAGCAGCCGGCCACGTGTAGTTTGCGTGTGAGTGTGCGAGTGTCCCTCTAACCCCGGGCGAGTCGCGAGAGCCTTCCGAAGCAGCCGCTTCAACTCTTCTTGTAGTTAGGCTCTCTTCCTCGACGTCCACGACGCCCACGACGTGCTCAAGGGTCTCAAGCCGCCCCTAACCTCACCTTCGCACCGGCGGATTCACGCGTCCAGCTCTAGTCGGACTCGGAAGGTGGCCGGCACTATGCCCGCCTGCCCATCCGACGGCCTCCCCGACGGCCACCCCGACGGCCTCCCCGACGGCCTCCCCGACGGCCTCCCTGACGACGGCGGCGAGCGGGATGTGGAGTGGAGTCTCGGTGGAGCCGGTCGGAGAGACACCTCGGGACGGCCAGGGAGGCCGGCATGGACCTCCCCGGACCTCCCCGCCGGTCTGTCTGCCTCTCTCTGCCAGTCGGTCGGTCTCTCTCTCTCCGCCCCTCTCGCGGCCGCCGTCCGACAGTCCTTTCTTGGCCCACTTGGGCTGTGGAACGCTAGAAATAGCCCCACCCCCCGAGGGGCACTGCGGGGCCCCGGGGGGGCAGGCGGGCAGGGCAGGGGGCGAAGGGCCCTGGCGGCCCTGGTGGGGGCAGGGGGCGTGGGACGCCGGTCCGCGCCGCCGCCGTGCCCGTTCGGCCCGTTCGGTGGGCCAGTTGCAGTGGGACCTCTGGGTAGGAAGGATCGCCCGACGCGCGGGCCCCGTCAGCTACCCGTGGAGAGGTACCCGCCTGGCCGGTACGCCCCGGCTCGGCGTGGCTCCCACGGGGCGTCTCGCGGGCCCCGTCAGCTACCCGTGGAGAGGTACCCGCCTGGCCGGTACGCCCGGCTCGGCGTGGCTCCCACGGGGCGTCTCGCGGGGCCCGTCAGCTACCCGTGGAGAGGTACCCGCCTGGCCGGTACGCCCCGGCTCGGCGTGGCTCCCACGGGGCGTCTCGCGGGGCCCGTCAGCTACCCGTGGAGAGGTACCCGCCTGGCCGGTACGCCCCGGCTCGGCGTGGCTCCCACGGGGCGTCTCGCGGGGCCCGTCAGCTACCCGTGGAGAGGTACCCGCCTGGCCGGTACGCCCCGGCTCGGCGTGGCTCCCACGGGGCGTCTCGCGGGCCCGTCAGCTACCCGTGGAGAGGTACCCGCCTGGCCGGTACGCCCGGCTCGGCGTGGCTCCCACGGGCGTCTCGCGGGCCCGTCAGCTACCCGTGGAGAGGTACCCGCCTGGCCGGTACGCCCGGCTCGGCGTGGCTCCCACGGGGCGTCTCGCGGGCCCCGTCAGCTACCCGTGGAGAGGTACCCGCCTGGCCGGTACGCTCCGGCTCGGCGTGGCTCCCACGGGGCGTCTCGCGGGGCCCGCGCGGGGCGCACGCTTTGTCGCTAACCCCCTGCGGGGCTGCGGGGCGCCACGGGCTCGCCCTGCGCACGCCGCATGCAGCTCGTCTTCCGCTGCCGGGTACTCACTTTGCTCTGACTTGCTTTTGCAGATCAAGGCCAACAACCTCCAGCACCAGCAGGTCAGCGAGTCGCCGTATGCCAAGCCGACCAAAGCCAAGCAGACGCAGTCCAGCCCCAACAAGCAGAACCTCGACTCCATGCTCGGCAACCTGCACGCAGACATGAGCCGCCAAGGAGTCAACACCACCCAGAAGGGCTGCTGCCACGCCTGCGAGAAGCCCATCGTGGGCCAGGTGCGGTCACTCGGCTAGTCACTCGGACGGCCCGGCGGTGCGGACGGTGCTGACGGCGAGCTTGTTCTGCCGCAGGTCATCACGGCCCTGGGCAAGACCTGGCACCCCGAGCACTTCACGTGCAACCACTGCAACCAGGAGCTGGGCACGCGCAACTTCTTCGAGCGCGACGGCCGCCCCTACTGCGAGCCCGACTACCACAACCTGTTCTCGCCCCGCTGCGCCTACTGCAACGGCCCCATCCTGGACGTGAGTGCCGCGCCACGGACGCCGGAGAGGGCGGCCTGGCGGGGCGGGGCTCGCGGTCACGCTGTCTCTGTTGCAGAAATGCGTGACGGCCCTGGAGAAGACCTGGCACACCGAGCACTTCTTCTGCGCCCAGTGCGGCAAGCAGTTCGGCGAGGAGGGCTTCCACGAGCGGGACGGCAAGCCCTACTGCCGCGACGACTACTTCGACATGTTCGCGCCCAAGTGCGGCGGCTGCAACCGCCCCATCATGGAGAACTACATCTCGGCCCTCAACAGCCAGTGGCACGCCGACTGCTTCGTGTGCAGGGTGCGTACCTAGTTGCTAGTTTGCATTAGCCTCTTCCCACAGGTGCAGGACGCGCGGGCCGCGGCCACGGTGAGTCTCCTAGTTGCACTCGTTGGGGAAGGGGATGGGGAGCTAGCTAGCTGGTGGCGGTCGCGGTGGCGGTCGCGGTGGGGAGAGAGTCCCGGCCCTCCCGCACAGCCTGCTTGACCGCTGTCTGCCTGTCTGTAGGACTGCAAGGAGGCCGTCAAGGGCAAGTCGTTCTACGCCATGGAGGGTAAGCCCGTGTGCCCCAAGTGCGTGGGCGTGGACGAGGAAGAAGAGGACTAAGTCGGCGGCCTCGACGGCCACGGTGCCGATGATGTGATGCCGGCCAGAGGTCTGACAGAAGTCTGGCAGAAGTCTGGCCGGGGTTGATGGCGACATCAACATCTCCCTTTCTTTGCAGCCGTCCAGCAAATAAACTAATCCTTCCCTTTCCCCCGACTCATAGACAGACACCTGCCTCACGGGCAGTCGCTAACACGCAGATCTCTCACACTTTTCCTTAAATTTTCCTTTCTCTAAAGTCCCCAGACCCAACACTTAGCAGCTCCACACGGTAGGGCCATACCTGACAGATCAGATAGACAAGAATTAATTTTTATATATGTGTATAAATATGTGTGTCTGTATAAAGATTTCTAGTAATATTTTTCCACAAGCTTTGAAGGAAACAAAAATTTTATACTTTAGAACAATAATGTTGCACTCGGTAATTTAATGTGAGTGGAAGGCATTGTATTTTTAAGCAATAAAGAAAATAAAAAAACAACAAAAAAACAAAAAAAAAAAACAAAAAAAAATTATTGATTGGAGGTCAGTGGTGTGAATGCACTGCTGTTACCTTCCACAACCTGGACAGGTCAGTGACCTGATTGGTTGTGTGAGGTGCCTCTTTGTCATCTGTCAGGTTTGGCACTGCAATTTGGTGCATGTTAATTTTGTTAATTTTGCGTATATGTACTGACACTATCACCCCAATGAAGGTCAATGACCCTTTTCAAGGCAAACAAAAGGAAAAGTAAAAACACACATTCTATATTTAGTATCTATTTATACCACCGCTTTAGAAGATCAAGGTCAGGTTCAGGGCTGGTCCTACTCTCAATGAGTCTGACACACTCACAGACACACACAGGAAAAACATGCTAACAGGTTTGCCAAAATTTATCAATTGCTCTTAAATGTGCATAGGGCTCAATTGAAGATGCAACAGGCCACTCCTAAAGACTAAGCCACACAATTAGCTTAATTTTTCTGAATTTTCTGTACGTTATTTGCACGTTTATACGTCACCTATATGACAGAAGGGAGCAAGGTTTTTAAAAATTCATGTTGGGAGTTAATCTTATTTTGCATCAATTGTTATTGACATTCTCCAAATATCTAGAACTGAAACCATAGTTGAATGTCTATCCCCTATATCAAATTTTTGTAGTTTGTTGTTTTAAAAAATGTATACGCAACACATGGAAAACAAAAAAACTTCATTATAAATTTTTCCAAAAATTATTTTTGTTGTGTTGCAAGGGAGGGGCAGCATTGTCATATTTCAATGTTTATCAAAATTTTGCTGGGTTTTGTACTATTAGATCTGCTCAGAATCAAGTTATGTTGAAATATCATCTTTTTTTAAGGGGCTGGGAGAAAAAAATGTTTTTTTTTTTGGGGGGGGGGGATGTGTGTGTGGCTGCATGCACGGATTTCTGTCCATATGATGTAAGTAATATATCCAAATTTTATGTTATAGGATTGTCGCCAACCCTTCCATGGCGGATCCTTCTTCGATCATGAGGGTCTTCCTTACTGTGAAACACATTACCATGCAAAGCGGGGTTCTTTGTGTGCAGGATGCCACAAACCAATTACTGGTACTTATGCTCAAGCAGTATAGTGATTATATCTCTTCTTAACAAGCAAGCTAACTTTTTGTTCCAATTTTGTCTTCAGGTCGATGCATCACTGCTATGTTCCGCAAATTCCATCCTGAGCACTTTGTTTGTGCCTTCTGCTTAAAGCAACTGAACAAGGGAACCTTTAAAGAACAAAATGATAAGCCATACTGCCATGGGTGCTTTGAAAAATTGTTTGGGTAACTGATGAAACATAGTTTATTGAATGTGCCCTCATTCCTGCCAAGTATTTGGAAATTGGCAAAACACTGTTTTTGTACACCAACAGTTTCTTGTAACCTCTGTGAGGTGATAAAAACGTTATATCTGTGGTGCTACTGTGAATGAATTGGTTGCTAACACAATCTTACCATTTTGAACTGGCAACAGTGCCCAGCTCTGTAAAGTTGTGGCACTACTCAAAAAATAAAACAGTAAACTAAATTGACTCATTTTGAAAGATCATTGTGTTTTGAAATCATACATACTGTGCATTTCTCTGGTAATTATGCTACTCCTTAAACTTGACTTCAATGTTCCCATCAGACTTTTCAAAACTATTTATGACATCAAAAAATTAGTTATAGCTATAATTTAGATGTATTTATGTACATTGGTAATTGCTATAGGAGGTGCTGTAAGAATCAAGAAATTTTCTGCACTTAAGTCATTTATACAATTCATTTTAGTCAAGTTAAGTCTGGCTGTCAGGCATTCTTGTCTTATTTATAATTAGTTTTAAAATCTTAACTGTGAGTTATTATTAATTTTGTGGCATTTGTGAAAGTTAAATGAAGTCATCCTGTTTGTAATCAATTATGCCATTTTCTGACAATCTCTTGTTACCATGATGCCATCATGAAAACTATACTGAAGACATTTCTGAAAGGCTCAGTTGATGCATCAGGCTCCCTTCAAAATCCTAATATCTTTATTTGTTAACTGACAGGGAATCCAGCTGTATATGCTTCTATTTGTGAATAATCGTAAAAAAGAGTGTAGATCCTATCAAAAGATAAGCATTGTTCCCATTCTTAGTGGTGAATAATCATGTTTTACATGAGTTGTGTTCAAGTACATGATGCAGATGCCACATCACAATGTGCTTCATAACACTGTAATTTGAAATTCTAGATTTGATGTTTTCAATTTTTTTTTGTTGATGATGTTTTATGTCTAATTTTAAAACGATCTATTAAATTTATTTTTTATTAACATATTTTATGTTTCTCATTTGTCTTCCTCCTCCCTCCTAATCGACCGAACCCTAGATCCAAGACACGGTAGATTACTATTCACGAGAAGATTTGTGCCAACAAAACGTGCCCCCAGAGAGAATCGAACTCTCGACCCCTAGTTTACGAGACTAGTGCTCTAACCACTGAGCTATGGAGGCGGCGTGGCGGAGAGTGGCGCTGTGCACGTCTGTGTACGCCCCTCGCGCGCGGCGCGCCCGACGCGACTCGGCTTCCCCTCCCCCTTTCAGGAAGACCCGCATCCTGGCAGGAGCAGGGAAGCGACAGTGGTGTCTGTTGGGTTGCCTGCCTGCCCGGCGCTTCCTTTGGGCGGGGGCCCAAACAGGCGTGAGCATTGGGGAAACCTCTATTCCTTTACGACGGTCAGAAAAAAAAATTAGAGCCTTTAAAGGCTAGTTCTAGGAGAGGACTTATGGGTCCAGCCTGTAACGAGATGTGTGTAAAAGTGGGTCAGGGCGTAGCCGCCGCGTGTGAAAATGACTATTCCAGTGAAGAGGCTGAGGACGATGGGTTGATGGAGATAAAGTAATAAGTGCAATACCCTAAGAGGCCTTTTATTGCATTCATCAGCCAGATTCAGTATATACAAGTTGGCCTTCAAACGCCGCGTTTGTTAGGATAAAAGGGTATGATGGTCTTCAAGTATCAAAGTTCACATACAGTCAGAGAAAGATTTAATAGATTTCAGGGAATAAATTAAAATCATTAATTTGTTTTACAAAAGAACATCACAATGTAGTTTTCATCATACAAACTATCTTCACGAGTGAAACTCAAAAAGATGATTTATATGATACAAAAATTCATCTAAAACACCTCCAAAATGTACATCTTCAAGAACATACAACAAGCTAGGTATGTACCAATATTTTTCAATGACACATCTCAGAATACAATTTCTGGAAGAATTCATTCAGAACATTAGCAACCAGTCACTTCAACATGTCTAGAAAGTCAGTAAAGAAAACTGCAGAAGACACAAGCAATTTGATTGAGTTTAGAAAGTATGAAAAAAGTATTATCATTATTTTTATAACAGTAAAAGTATAAGGGCAGTAAATTTTAGGTCCTGCCAAGACACAGCCTCAGTAAATGAAATAACTTTATTTAATTATATGCAAGGAGATATTACTAAAAGAATCAAGTTTACAGGCATTCAGACAAAACAATTTTTTCATAGGAGCTAGTCTGGCAATTAAACATTGGTTTACCATTAAAAGTTATGCACATAACAATAAAAGATAGGCTCCTGTGGTAAAATACATTAAAGGGCAAAGGTGCTCTAAAATAAAATTGTGTAGTTCACACAAAAATCACAATAGAGACAGAATTTAAGTTAAATAAACATAAATTGCCTCTGCCCACACACTCCTCACATTTGGAACCTTGCCAACCTCTGGCACACCTAAAACACTTGGTTTGCTTCATCATTTATGACAGAGAAAAAGAAATAAAGAAAAAAGATGTTCACAGCATAGAATTTGGGAAAAGTCAGATTTTCAACAATCAAAGATGACAATAAAGGCAATAAAAATCAAGTTCCCCAGTTACCAAGTGACAGTTCCAGAGTAAAAAAAAAAACAACAAAAAAAAAATGGGCAGACTTCTCGTTTTGTAGTAACTCATAGTTCTGTCAATAAAACAATACATGATCATACAAATATCGTCAACCCAAGAATCAAGACTACGCAACACATGATTGTGGCGGCAGATGGTCTTCCATGTCACACTAAATAAGCATCAATTTCTGAGGCAAACTTTACTAAAAATAACACACAAAGATTCCTTCAGATGCAAGTGATGGATTATCTTAAAACATCCAGAAATAACCTTTCATGACACACCAAAATCTTATTGAAGCTCTCTCAATTTTACAAAAAAAAAAAAAAAAAAAAAAAAAAAAAAAAAAGAAAGAACTAGGCTTTCAGACTCTGAAAATGTCCACCTTTAACAACCTAAATTATAGCATTACCCTAACAGTTAGAGCATATATGAAGGAGAATACAATTAATTCCAAATGAAACAAGAGATGTTTCAAAACCGCAATTCAAAATTCACAAATAAAATATTGAACTTAATGTTATTTCATCACTAATAACTAGCAATGGTGATGAAGCATCAGAAAAGAGTCAATAAACAGTGATACTGTCTAAACTGCTTCAAAGCTTGCCAAAGCCTGACTAGAGATGACTTGCATCTGATAGAGGACAACAAACCTTCAGTCTTACAAGCATCTTTCAACCCTCCCAAATCAGTCTTCATGAGAGCCATACACCAACCCCCGTGCTCGGGTAAGAATCGGTCAAAGCCCGATCCAATTTACAGGATGGGGTGAAAGGTTTCATAACAGCCCTTTTCTAGATCTGAGACACAAAATCCAGAAGGCTTTAGGTTTCGAATTTAAATGAAAGCTATGATTTTACGACTAGAGTAAATCTAACACATTTTGTTCACTAGCTAGGGCTATGATCCGATGGCCCAGTGTGAGCTCTGCCTGGGGAGGGGCTGTCAAGAGGTCGGAAAGTAAAATTTGGAGAGTCTGCACTTGACATTGATTCAGGGGTGCCAACTGAACTAACAGACCCTGGAAGTGGGCTAGATCCTTGTTCTAGCCTATGTTGCGGCATAAGGAGACCTCCGCCACCATTACCGGTGCTCAATCGTTTAGTGGGTGGAGACCGATACTGTTCAGCATCATCAAGTTCAAACTTCCGCTTCACAGCAGGGCCTAATGTGCTGGGTCGCATTGCTATGGGACTCTGACTGCGTCTAAAGAGAAAACAAAACAATTTTTTTTTAATGTTAGTAACAGCGACAGTTCATTACTGTTTTGAAGTTAGTAAAATCATAAAAAGAAATTATTTCTTACTTAGTGGTATAAGATTTCCTGGTAGGGCTTGTACCAAACAAGCTTCCAGTTGGTGTGATGAGTTGGCGACTGAGTCCACATCTCGTTGGGGAGGGGGAAGAACAGACGGGAGAGTTTGGAGGCATATTAAGATGCAGTGGATTCATCTGGGGCCCAAGCACCCTACGTTCTGACTCGTTCTGTTCAAAAGACGCACTTTTTCATTAGTATGCCCTGGCACAATGTAAAGCCAAAATGTTTATGAAAAAAAATAAAAATACTGACATCACTGCAACTAAGGTTACCAGCCACAAGGGTCAAATCTTCGCATGATTGTGACATTTGTATAGCCGAATGAATTTCTTTTTCATGTGCAGCTTCACTTCTTGCCACATCAAGGCATTCCTCTTGCCGAAGCTGACTGACACGAGGAGACGGCCTTGGAGAGCTCTGGAAATGTCAAAATTGCACTGTCAAGAAGACGCCAACTTACATTGTTGTCTCGTTAAAAAAAAAACAAATATTACTTACACCAGCGCTGTGTGAAGTGAAACTGCTGCCACTAAACCGCCGGGTCCTTGGTTGCATCAAATTTGATGTCGGAACCTCCCTGTTGATAAAGTAAATAACATTGTATTGATGTAGGAGTTAGCAAATCATGCTTGAATTAGTGAGACTAATAGTTTGATGGGTTCGATATGAAGGAAAAATAACAATGACACAGCACAACTGTGGCCTGCTATAATAACAAAACACTACCCTGGCAAACATGTCACAATCACTTCACATATATGCAAGATACTAGAGGAAAGTGCACACACACTTGGAGCAACGAGCGCGGCGAGATTAACGTAAATCCAACAGGAAATAGACTAATTGACGTAGTTAGGGCAGTGTCCCTGAACTAACAGTGTTTTCTGGCTTGGCCTGAAGGAGACAGACAGAAGTCCGACTAACCTGACTGCTGCCGCAGATGTGGAGGACGTTCCAGTAGCTGCTGCCATGTTGGAATTCAGTTCATTTATCATTGGGGCACTGTTCGAGCGCTTAAGACTGGCCGGTGGATCAATATCCATGGCAGACGATAGATTTGCTGCCATTTCGCCTCAGAGACTCAGCCAACTTCAACATAACTTGTTAGTTCCGTGACGACCGCACCAACAGCCAATACCCTTCACTTCCCTCGGTTGCGGAAACGGTATTATCTGGCAACCAGGCAAATGTCAAAGGACATTTTGAACTGTCGGTCAGCACTGAAGTTCTCTTTCAAGGTTTTTCTTGTCCAAAGACACAGAAATCCAGTGTCTCCAGCCCGGAGGTCCGAAGCGGCGAGGCCGACTGCTTGAACTTGGAGCCGACGGAGATTGGATGGGCCGCGGCCGCAGGCCTTAACAGCACCCAGTACTTTCCGTAAGGCTCTCGCTCAACTCTTGCTTCGCTAATTGCACTTGCACGCTACAAACAGGCACGAGCAGCAGTTTAAAGCATCACAAATACCGAAAATCCAGGGAAACAGGGGCAAAAATTCACTGGAACGACATTCACTCTTAACAAATCGAGCCAGGTTAATCTTAAAGGATGAGAAATTCATGAAATATGACTGCCAATAAATTTAAAAATCACTATTTGCAGTGTGATTGACTGAACTGAAGAATGATGTTGTGTAAGATTTTCTATTCCACGATGATTATAAAGTGATAAGGTAGCACAGACATGACATCCCCTGTCAAAGAACTAATAAACCTCTCGAATGAATCAAAAGTCCGTTTCTCTTGTTTAAAACTGGTCAAGGAGCGCGCGATTTATCATACGTCCTTTCAACGTCAGCAGACGTGCAGAAAACAAACCACTGAATAGCTGTATTTATACGATTGTCTAATGATTATTTATTTTACAATGTTGAGACTTGTACTTTTAGAATACATGTTCTTTCTTTCTGAATGCACTAGCTGTCTACCAGGTTCACACGCCACCACGATTTTCTTCTGCTAGGGGTGGCAGTACCCTCCAAAACCACCATGATGACCCACACGACTCACACTTTTGTTTTGCCAAATTTTGTTGTATCCCTTAAATTTGCCTACATTTCAGACTTGTCCTGTGCGGCACTGGAATTCAAAAATCCGCTGCCGTCGTATTGAAGCTCGATTTGGAATTCCCTGAGCCTCCAAGTGGGTGTGTCCGTGTCCTCCGAGGGAGCTCCAACCTGCTGCAAAGTATTGCATTGATTGCATTGCGAGTAGGGAGTGCACAGCGCTGGCTAGCCTACGGGGCCTACGGCTCTTTTAACTGCGTAGCCCCCAGCCCTTCCCTTGGGGGTTGAGACCGCGTTCGGGATCAGACGCCCTCGGATGCTTTGGGCCGAGTGTTGTCATGGATTAACCCTTCACCCTTCGCAAGTTGCGTACCCCGACGACATTGACACGTCTGAGTTCTAGCAGAAGAGATGGCCGAGAATCCAGTTCTGGAGGCGTGGAAGACCACGGTCCCATGTCGGTAAGATCTTGCGTTTATTGCATGATTAAGATTATATTTCTTGCTGCTGTTTCTTGTCAAGATTACTCCATTCATTCTTATATGTCTTGTGATCTTTTGTCACTCTTCCAACTAGTGTCATGATTTTGGTGCTCCACTTTCATAAGATTGTGTAAATCCCCTGTTGTTCAATGTAACTGTTACCTTAGATAGTTGAACATGGGTTAGCAAGGCTTCAGAGTGTGGTTGGTTAGAAGTTCCTCTGTTTAGTCAAGTTCATTTATTTTGTTGAGCATGACCAAATGTATCACTTGCCTAAACTTGAACTATTTGGCAGGCAAGTTTTGGTTTTTCTCTAGACTGGTGATTCTAGGAATTTTTGAGAACACGAAGGATTTGCTTTGTTCTCTCTCAAACAAACAAGTGTTGTCACAATTGTCTCTATATCTCTGAGGCCCTTTTATGATGCCTGTTTATTTTTCCTCCCACCAGGTACTTCGCAAGTGGATCGTGCAGGGAAGGAGATAATTGTAAATACTTGCACGACGAAGCATTGTTACAAATATTATCAGAAGGAGATGGGTTGAATACAACTGCTAAGCGGAAAGATAATGTCGCTAGGAGCTCTGTAGATGACCATAACAAATGCACTGGCAGCAGTTCCGGCAACAACGCTGACAACCAGGATAATAGTGAGACCAGAGCATGTACTAGTACGTCTCAACGAGATAAAGGCCAACTTGATACCGGTACTTCAAGCAATAGCGACTCAACTGAAAGTCAAAATAACACAGAACCTATTATATGTCAATACTTCCAACAAGGCTGTTGCATGTTTGGCTCTAATTGCTATAATAAACATGACCCTACTGAAATTAACATTAGTGCCTCCAGCCAGAGTTGTTCAGAAGACCCTCCTGAAAATAATTCAAGCAGCACCTCTGTCACAGTACCTTTAGCTTCAGATGCCTTATCATCAGATTCCTCAATGAGTCCCTTAGCACCAAACGGTGAAAGTTTGGAAGATCAGAGGTAATCAGCTTCTTGAGATATGTTTCAACCCTAATAATTGAGATTTTATCCCAAGTTTAATTGTTGTTTGATGGCTTTCCAGATCTCCTGCTCGACCTGAATCTGAATCCATTGAGACAAAAACAACATTGAGAGTTAACGCTCCTGAGTTTATTCCATCTGGATTTGTGCGTTCTATACCTTCTGAGGCTTCAGTTGTGGTTGATGAAGTTAATGATACCAAAGAAGGTATGCCCAATTAATGTGTTCTAATTTTTTTCCCACTCATTACACGATTGTCTCATTTCATTTTCAATGTCTGCAGCTTCTTCAGGAAAAACATGGGCGCAAGTAGTGAATGCCACTGCAGGTAATGGGGTTCCATCTCCTTACACAAGCTTGTGTCCTTATGCGGAAGCTGGGGAATGTCCCTACGCTGAGAATTGCACCTACTTGCATGGTGAAACTTGCGAGTTTTGTGGTAATAACTGTTTGCACCCAACCAACGAAGATCAACGCAAAACTCATACAGATGTAAGCCATTACCATTTGAAACTATTTTATTGTGTAATAGTTTGGTCAAAAAGATGAAAAGTTTTCTTCTTTTTAGGAATGTATAAAGCAGCATGAACGAGAAATGGAACTAGCATTTGCAGTTGCTCGATCAAAAGACAAGCAATGCGGTGTATGTTTTGAAGTAGTGGTGGACAAAAATCCAGCAAGTGAACAGCGGTTTGGTATTCTGCCTAATTGCAATCATTGTTTTTGCCTTGCCTGTATTCGTAAATGGCGCCAAGCAAAACAATTTGAAAATAAGATTATAAGGTAAAACAAAACACCTTATTCCTACTTTTTAGACCGAAGTTATAATTCATATAGTTGACAAGCTGCCCTTTCTTATGTAATAAACAATACCAATGTTTGATTTTTATTATTTCAGGGCATGTCCTGAGTGTCGAGTAACATCCGACTTTGTGTGCCCAAGCATGTACTGGGTCGATACCAAAGAAGAGAAAGATAAGCTTATAAACGCTTACAAGAGTGCCCTGAGGTAAGCACATTGTCTTCCAAATATTTTTATCAGAATGAAGAAAATTTATTTCTCAGCTAACTGTTGTGACCAAAATTTACATGAAATTTATTTTCACAGCAATAAACAGTGCAAGTATTTCAAACAAGGCCGCGGTAAGTGTCCATTTGGAAACAAGTGCTTCTACCTTCATGCTTACCCAGATGGGACAAAAGTGGATACCGGGCCACCGATCCGGCGCCAGCGTCAGAATGCAGATGGAGAAACAGATGTTTTACAGCTGTTTTTATGGGATTTCCTTGATGAGAGGGACAACCGGTGGCTTTACAGCTTGGAAGATATAGATCTTATGGCGTATTTCTCAGGCTCTGATGACTCAGATGCTTCAGACATAGAAATGTATTGATTTATGCTATCCTATGTAATAATATCACAAAATTTTCAAATCTGGTCAATTTTTATTTCACATAAGCTTCTGAATGGTGTTTCCTTCCCATTGTTTTGCCATTTTCAGATGTCTATTATTTTTTCTCATAGTTTATGTTAAATTAGCTTAAAGTGCCTTGTGCAAGTTTTTACGTATATTTATTCACTCCCGTGGTTTCACTGACAAGCACAGAGTTTCCTAGCGTGGGTCTCGCTTGCCAGTGCTGTTGAAGCCAAGATCTGGTTTCAAGGCAGGGGAGATGACTGTTAATGTTTTGACTTCCTTCAAGATTTGTTATATTCTAGTTAAACTGCACTAAATTGTTCTGCAGTTATATATGACCATGATGATCTAATAGATGGCTTCTTAGGATGGGAGGGTTTAACCGTTGATAACTCAGAGGCTACTATCCTGCTGAGTCTGGCTTACTGGATGTAATGCCATGTAATTGAGCTTCTTCATAGCTTGTTGATTACTGTGATGTGGTCCATAGTTAGAGCAATAACATTGTTTTGCCTATGGGAATCTGTGATAGTCAAATTGGTTCTCATCCGCTCATGAGCTGTAAGTATTCAACAATGATTTTAGTTATTTATTGTTACTTTTTGTAAAACACTTAAGAGAATTGTGGAGGGGATGGGGCATATGAGACACCATTTCATATTTTTTTAGCTGTAATATTCGCTTTTGCTCGTGAAGTGTTGAAGTGCTTTTTGAGGATATTTATGAAAAAAATACTGCCGAGGAACCAGTTAATTCGTGACCAGAATAAGTAAAGGAGTGACTTGGTTTATGATTATCACAATAATAGATATAACAAGTGATTTCTAAGTTCATATTGATTATGATTACCTTTTCCTTACAATAAAGAGAATAATTTTAAATTGTTGTGTATATTTAGTAGTGTTGCACCTGACTCAAAATTGCATTGGCTAAATGAACTCAAACCATCTTGATTCTATGTTTTAACTTAGATTTGAAAGGGAGTAACAAAAACACAGAGTACTTATAGTACAGAGCATGTTTTATTTATTTCATTTTAAACCAGAACAAAGTAAAAACATTTGCTATTGCAACCAGAATACTTAAAATACAAGATTTTGTAAAGAATGAGCATGATATTTTTAAAAGGAAGAGACTGACCACTTAAAACTGACTGAGGTTTGCTCTGACCACCAGAAAACAATAAGTAGCATTTAATTGCCAAAATAAACTAACTTTTAATTAAGAACTGTATATACACATAACAAAAATTACAAAATCCTTGAAGCTTACGATATAAGTGGAATAATTCCACTGTTTACAGACCATAAAAATATTGATTAGCCATCTCAAAAGCTGGCCTACAGCCTTCATATTAGAAAATAAATAACATCTGTACAGATAGCGAATCACTAGCAGACCTTACATACCACATTCAAACTACCTAGACAATTCTTCCATCACTGAAAAGGAATTAGACTGAGAATAAATTACACTATTATCACTTGAAGGAATTTTATGCAACGCTGACTCAAATTTGCACACCATACTTCTTATGCAAAACCGAAACCCTCCGAGCACTCATGGATTGCTTTGAGTAAGTTGGTGCGCAATTTATCGTATGTCTCATAAACAGGCAAATCCAACTGGTTGAAGCTGTAAAAGAGCAAACACAGTGAGTACCATGTTTTCATTTATGACAGGTCCATTCAAAGAGAGGAGCTCTTGTACTTACCATGTGTGTGCAGAAGGCAAACGATCCGTGGAACGATCGTCGCGATGGATCTGGAATTTCTGAACACCATTCATGCCCTCTAGAGCTCCAAATCCTTGCAGGGGAACCTTGGAGGTGCCAGTAACAAACTGCAGGAACTTGGCTCTGTCTGCGTGATCCAACGACCTTAAGGCCCGCCAGAACCACTGAATCTGAAAAAGTAGATTAACCAGAATTAGAACTAGGACATTGGACCTTGAAAAATCATTAAACTCAACTATCTGCACTGGGACTGAGAAACTTACCTGCAGAGAAGTTGGCTGGTACTTGTGATACTCAGTGTTAGCCTTCAAGTCTTCAATATCCACATTAGGCAGTCCAGATATGAGCAACTCCAACTCTTGTTCATTGAAAATGGATATGAGACGTTTAGGAATAATGTCATAAAAGCCCTCTAGGAAAGCATTCAGTCTGAAAATGAAAAGAACAATTTATGCATTTTGATTATCATGGAACACCAACTAGAAACACATTTTAATGCATTTCCACTCACTGCTTTCTAATAGCCCCAGTCATTTTCATCTGACACACAAGGCGAATATAGTCCATCTTGTTTTCTTCAGTTACACCAATGTTCCTTCCATTAGGGATCAGGTCTCGTACTTCTGTTACTCCAAACTCTTGAACCTAGTTGGAAAATACCTCATAGATTAGAAAAGAAAAGTCCTAAAGGGGCTATGAAGTCATTGACTGAATAGTATTGACATACCTCTGCACTGAATGTAAGATCATAGCCAAGAGCACTGACATGATTTTCCATTAGGTACACTAATCCTTGATAGAAGCTGTAGTCTTCACTTTCCATATCAGTGTACTTGACAAGGATTCCTAAAATGTGTTTGTAGAATGACCTTGTGAAGTAGCATTCTAACAATTTGTTATCATAGATTGCTTTAGCTGAAATTAAGACAACAATTATGAGTTATATTAAAGATAAAATTAATTAATTATTATTAAATGATGTATGCCTGATTAATAATTATTACTTACCAATAACTCTTCCCACAAATTTGAAATAGCAAAGATGATTTGGATTGCAATGTGATGAAGAGTTAATCATGTATGTTACTCTATCACCAGGTGAAGTTGTGAACAGAGCATACATGGGGTTGAAGATTTCTCGGGAAATAATAACATACCACTCTCTCAACAGGCCACCTGCATCTTGACCTTCCTCACCTTAAAAAAAAAAAAAAGTGGTCAATGAATAAATGTAAATGATAAATACACACACACAGACTAGGTTGGGTTAGATGTACAAACAGAACAAGAGTTGTACCTTCAAACACTATATAGAACCGATTTTTCCATTCTTCCACAGGCCTTCGTTGCAATTCACGGAATGAATCTTCAAATACATTGGAACGTCTAACATGAACTGCAAGTTCCTCTCTGCGCAATCCTTCATCAAGGCGCTCCAATTCTGTACGGAAGTAGCGCCTCTTCACATCAAAGTCCAAAATTCGCACATGATCCACAAGGCCAGCAAATGGACCATCTGCCAAAGGTGCTGTTGATTGGCGCAGGATTTGGTTAAGGACAGTACGGTGTGTTTCTGGAAGCAATCACAAAGACTGAGATAAAAACCTGTCACAACATAACTTAAAAAAAAAAAAAAAAAAAAAAAAAAAAGCCATGCAATCAAAGCTTACCAGCAAATTTGAGGAACTTCTGTTGGTCTGGGGAAAGCGCTGGCGCAAGAGTGGCATTTTCTAACGCCAAGGAAGCAGAGGCAGCCTCCTCAGCACTTGAACTGGCAGCCGCAGCCCCGCTGGCCGACGCTCCTTGACCAGCTGCTTGCGGTTGGGCCTGTGTTCCTACTCGAGCGGCAGGGGCTTCAGCAACCAGGTCCACCCCAGGGTTGGCACGACTACTCGAACTGGAAGACCTTTCACGATCCCTCTCCGATGATGGAGGGGCATGCACCAAAAAGAACGCCTCAACAGCAGGCTGGAAAAGAGATGCATCAAAATAAGAGATGAAAAACACAAAATAAATAAAATTAAATATCAGTAAGAATAACAAGTATAAGACCAACTAACCTGTAGCATCAGGACAGCGTGGTGGTCTGGAGTGTCAGCTAGCTGCAGCAGGCATGTGCTCAGCGTTTCCCACAGGCTGTCGAGCCTCAACTGTTCACTAAGGTTCGGAAGAGCTGGTCCCTCTTCAGTCTCAACCTCGTCTTCATCATCAGGCTCATCCTCATCATCCTCCGAATCCAACTCTTCGTCTGGATGTGGCTGTTGTGGCCTGTTGGGATCTGCACAAAAAGATGAAAGTCATGATTCCACCGTAGGCTACATTGCTGAATGCACTAAACCACGAGAGGACAAGACTGCCCAGGATCGTCACTTACTGATGAAGTGGATAAAGCCGCTGCGATGCTCCGGCGCAAGGATGGGCTCCATCTGGCGGTGCTCTGCCGCAACCGGAACCGGAACCACAACCTGGAACTCCCCAGAGCCCGCTGGCGCTTCGGGGGGAACTCCGGGCGGCGAGGACGTGTCCATGGTGTCGGCCTCGGCGTCGGCAGCGGGGACCACTTCCTGAGCCTGCAAAAAAAAAATGAACGAATGAAAAATGGAACGATCAAACGATGCTCGCCGGACGGAATACTGGCGGGAGCGGACTTTGTAAAACTGTAGGCACCTGTTCCTGCTGCGGGGCGGCGGCGGGCGCGGTGGCGGGCGAGGCGGGCACCAGGCGCACGCGGCAGCTGGCGCGGCTGCCTCTGCTGCCCCTGGCGCGGCCCACCGGGGTCTCGGCGGGCAGGGCGTCCGGGTCCGCGTCGGGCAGCGGCGCTGGCGGCCGCACCCTCGGCGCCGCCATCAGCGTCTCGGCCGCGGGCGCCGCGCCGCCGGTCGCGGGGGTGCCGGCCGCGGTGGATTGGTCGGCGGCGGCAACCGTGGCGGCAGCGCCCTCGACGGGAGGGGCCGCGGCCTGGGCGTCGGACGAGGAGCCAGCAGCCACCAGAGCATCGGTTTCCATCCGCTCAACTGATAAACAAAACACGGAACGTCAGTGCACGCCAACAAAAAAAAAGCGCGCTACAATAGCTCGTGATCAACGTCAAGTATTACCGGATGGTACACTAGGAGGCGGGGCGGAGGGAGCTGTGACTGGAGTCGACGAATTGGCTGGTTGGTGTGTTGAGTCGAAACGAGGCGTCTTCTTCTTGCTGGCCAAGCGCACCGCCTCGCGCAGCTGGATGATGACCTTGAGCATCCGCAGGAAGAAGGCTTGGCTGGATGTTTTGGACGTCAGAGGTGCCATGCTCGGAAGCTGGAGGTCCATGCCACCTTTCAGTTTGGTAGGTGCAGTCACAACCACGGTGTCATTTGTAAACCTGTAACATGCAAAAGTTAGATTGCTAATCAGGAATAAAGTTTTGAAAAGTTACACACCTCGCCTCTTCCTGGCTTTAATAGAACGTACCTATCATGCAGAAGACCCCTTTCAGGACGAGCCACAGAGTTATCGTCTGTGCTAGTGCTGTCTTCTCGCACTCTCTTTTGGTTGAGAGAAGATAGCTCTCCAATCAGGGATGCTATGTGTTCTTGGACTGTGTAAGCAAGTTTCATTGCTCCTTCCAAAAGCAGTCTTAAAATCTGTGGAAGGAAAGCAGTGGTTACAAACCAAAATTTATTGAAAGTAGAAAGTGCATGGATAAATAAAAGATAATTACCATTTCTCTCATAGCATCATTATAGCTAGCAAGATTTAAAAGCAAGGCAGTCGTATCTTCTAGACCCTCTTCAGAGCAAGATTTGGATGTCAGAACTTGCACTGCAAGTCTGACCTGATTTTCAACCATTGGAGGAGCATGTGGGTTTGGTTCTGCTAGGCCAAGAGAGACTAAGGACAGCAGTCTAAGGAGCTTGTCTGTGAGAACAGTTGACCGTTTAACAACTTCGCAATCCAACATTGGCAACAACTGGCCAAAAGCTGAAGCTTCGAAATTGGTAGGGTGGGATGAGTCAGCTTCATTGTTGCGCTCTACTCCGGCACTACTATTGGATCTTGACAGGTTTTTTCCTGAAATAGATAGAAAAACATCAACCATGAATAACAAATAAAATTAAAAAGAAGAAATATTAAAGATATGCACAATTAACCCACCTTTCCGTGAAGAGCTGGCACTATCCAGTCTCAAGAGAAGCTCCCAGAACTCATTTGGAGGGGTTGTAGTTGAGCCAGAAGTAGAAGCAACAGCAGTGGAAGTGGAAGGGCCACTGCTAGTTCCCTCTCCGGCAGACGAGCTTGGCGTTGTTCCCTGAATGGATGAAGCGCGGCTTCTTGTTTCCACTCCAACCCTCTCTTGGGGTGACTCTTGATCTTTGGGTCGAGCTGGGAGGAAATACCCAGGGAAACTTTTGGCTAGTGAAATAAGCAGGTCCAAGGCATGTCTGCAAAAGAATTAAATGATTAACAAGGGTGAGATAATTACTTCCAAAAGTAATGCAAAAATTACTGACTGAAATTTTTGACCCACCTGCACACTATCGGGGCAGCTTGCCGGTGCACGGCAATAGCAGTGGATGTAGAGTTACGCTCATAGCCCCTCTTGCCAGATGGCGGTCTTTGGATATGGAAAATGTTGGCCCGACATCCCAGAGCAGCATCCACACTCACATTCAACCAGGAAGTTCCACCTTGCAGTCTGACATTTACACTGCCAGTGTTTCCAGTGGCTCCACTTCCACTGAGAGAAACATGAGACAAATGTAACGAACACATCACAGGACTCTCCAAATGCACCACCAGATAAAATGGCAACTCACCTCTTGGATGCATCAGCTGCTTGTTTGGCTTGAGATGCGCGTGTTGTTCGCTTTGATTTGGCAGGAGTCTCAGTCGATGGCAAGGCCGGCAGAATTTCAGCAACTCTTGACTCGTTACTTCTTTCCAGAATAGACAACAGTGCCTGTAAATAATTCCATAATAAGCAAATGTCCATAGCAACACAGATAGATAGTCAATTTCAGAAAAACTCCGTGACTCACTTTGATGATCCAATCCCTGGTCTGATAGTGATAGCACAGATTCCTGAACACCCTGTGAAGTCTGCCTGTGTTTAGTCTTGGTTCATCCAAGAACAGAAGCACAAGGAGACAGCTCAGGGCCTCATGGTCTAGCAGAGGTCGGCCTCTTGCTCTGATATTAGTGGTTGCTGCCGAAGACAACGCTAGAGCAGCCTGCTCTCGGTCACTCCAGTTTCCAGTCATCCACCGACTTTGTTGAGGAACAGTCTGGATGGCATATCGCGTAACAGGGCGACCTAAAACAAATTCAAATTTAAGAGAGTTGTATTAGTACATTTACATTTGAGAAAAACCTGACACACAAATAATAAAAGTAAATAATTTGGTTAGGTACTCACGACTACCTGAAGCAGCCTGATGACTACGAAGGATTTGCGATAGGGTGCTCTGACCAGGATGTGAAGTGAAGAACCTGTCTTGCATGTGCCTGTTGCGGGACTCCCATTCACGCCTCAAACTCTGAGCCTCAGCAGCAAGATCTGGAGGCAATGCTGCGATCTGGGAATCTTCCATGTCTGCCAAAATCTGCGGAAAACAATAGAGGATGTCAATCACGATAGCAACCCTTGGCGATAACAAATCAAAGGAAACACTTGGCTAACGTACAGCTTGGCGAAGAGACGGAGCAAGGTTCTGGAAGAAGGCGGCCGTGTCGACGGGGTCCTCCGGGTTGGCGCTGGCTGCGGCGTGCCTCTGCTGCTCCAGCCGCTGCTGCGACAGCACCTCCTCCTGGATGGCGGGCGGCAGGGCGGCCAGGAACTCGGGGTTCACCTGGGTGATGCCGGCGCTGGTGCCCGCGGCCTGCGTCTCCAGAGTCTGCTGCCGGATGCGCTGCAGCCGCAGTTGCTCGGCGATCACCTCCTCGCGCATGTCCTCCGGGAGCGCGGCCAGGAAGGACGGGTCCACGCCCTCGGGCAGCTCCGGCGCGCCAGAGCCTGAGCCTGAGGGCGCACTGCTGCCACTGGCCACCGCGGTGCCCGAAGTGCTGGGCCCGGCGGCCTCGGCGAGGGCCAGCGCGGCCGCCAGGGCCTCGTTGGCCAGCTTCTGCTGCTCGTCGCCGGCCTCCGCAGCGCCAACTGCACCGGAAGCCTCGGGTGCTGCAGCGGCCGGCCCGGCCTCCACCACGGCCTCGGTCGCGGGGGCGGGGGCGGGCACCGCGGCGTCGGCTGGGGCGTCGCTGGCCGCGGGGTCGGCGACGTCGTCGGGCTTGGGGCTGAGCGCCTCGGCGGCCGGGGCGGAGGGGGCCTCCACGTCCGGCGAGGCTGGGGTGTCTGGGATCTCCTCGGTGGGGCCTTGGCTCTGGCCCGGGGCCACCGTCACGGCCTGCACGTTCATCACGTCGGACGGCGTTGTGGTCGGCGAGCCCGCCGTCACCAGGTCGGACGACGCGGCCGCCGGCACAGCCGGGGCCACGACTGGAGGCGCCGCCGCCAAGTCCTGCACGGTCCAGGTGCTTTCCCCGGCGCTGGGCTGCTGCTGCTGCTCGGTGGGGGCCGCCACTGGGGCCGCCACTGGGGCTGCGCCCTGGTCGGGGCCGCCGTACGCAGGGCCCAGGTAGTTGGCGAACGACTCCAGCATGCGGTTGGTGGCGTTCTGCTCGCGGCTGCCGTTCTGCTCGCGGGTCGCGATCACCTCGGCGATGGTGTCCGCCATGAGCGGCGAGGGGGTTTCCATGCTGGCGTTTTCGGGCAACGTCGCTGGAATACTCTGCACCTCCATCCCCTGCTCCTTGCCGGCTTCAGGGTCTCCTTTGGCGGCGCGCTTCTTACGAGCCACCTCTTCACATTTTTTCTGCTCTTCTACTTGCTTCTTCATTTTCTGCTGACGCTCGTGCAACTCTTCATCTCTATGCTTCTTCAGAATGCCGACAAGACTGTGGGCCACGACAAACACCAAATCAGCAGAGCACTCTCCGTCAAGTAGTTTCGACTCTTCGTTCCACCAGTTTAGGGCAGTAGGGGTGTTGCTCATTGTCACTGCCAAACCTGGACCCAGCAAATAACCTGACTGGTCAACAAAGTCAATTTGTTCCTCTTCTCCATTTGTCAAAATTCCCAGACCATGGTCCATGAGAACCACTCGAGAATCTCTAACAGAGTTGGCGAGGGCTTGCCCAGCTGCAGTGGCCAATGGAAGACTTCCTGCAAGTGGTCCTAGCAAACGTTGAAGGATCACTGGAGGGTTGGGATTTCGCATGTTGAGTTGTAGATATTGGTAACGGCGTTGCCTATTGGTCCTTTGGCTTCGCGTGTTTGAAAGATTGTTGGACTCATTGCTATGTCGAGTGTTGAGAAGAGGATGAACATGAGGACCTGGGTTGATTCCACCTGCAGCATTGTCATTCCCATTGTTTACATCTTCAAATATTCCAAAAGGTAGAGGGAAAGTGCTGGTGTTCCAAGGAACAAGCGGCCCACTAGGATCTGGATCAGAGTACTGAATCATTAAAATGTCCTCATTGTCTCGGTCCAGACCAGGAATGCGCATCACACCTTCATCTGAGGGGAATATCTCCAAGTTATCAGCCTCATAACCACCATCCTCTCCATTTTGCTGAACATCATCTCCGTTGTCTCCATCGTCGTCGTCATCATCATCTTCGTCGTCATCCTCATCTTCATCTCCACTACTACTGGAAGAACTGCTTGAACTTGAACTGCTCTCATTGTCATTCTCACCTTGATCTTCACCCTCTGCAGACTGATTGCTGCCAGAGTCTGAGCTTTCATCATCGATGTGGTCTTCCTGCTCAGTGAACAATGTGTTACGGTGACAGGTAAGCAGCTCCTCATTTCGGGCTTCAACATCCATAGCCTCAGTTTGATTCACAAATGCTGATGACGTAGATCCTTGCCTCTCTCTACTGACCAGAACATCCATGAGGTCATCCAGGCAAGGCTCGTCTCCTTCCTGCTGTTGTCGGTTCTCATTGTTAGGCTCCATGCTTTCAGTGGCTCCTGAAACATCGTGATCGGTATTGTCGGGGTCTTCTGCTGCATCCTCACCTTGAGCATGAGTGGTGCCAGAAGTAGGTGTTCCTGGCAAAGCCAAGGGATCCACATCCAGGGACTGAATCTTGGAGCGAGCAAGTTTCAGCATGGCTGAAGTTCCTGGTGACGGCTGAGCCATGATTCTTGACAGCGTTTCCAAGGGTTTCAGTGCTGCATTTACAGTGGATGCTGTGTTGGGGCTTGACAGATCCAAGCTGTGGACAACACGAGCTAAGTCTGTCACCAAGCCTCTCCTCACCATAATGCGTACCATGTTGTTGACACCATTGATCTGCTGAGACCGAAGTCCAAGAGGGTTCTGGGCATTTTGAGATGTAGTGGTGCTTGGTGGGCAATTTTCAATCATTGTAGATATGAGCACAGCTAGAGCCTGGATTTGGCTGCTCTTCTCTGCAGACTCTGGCATTTGTAGGGTTCGAGCTAAGGCATTCTTGACCTCTACCACCAATGTGGTTTGGGCTGTGCAAGAATGAGTGCATGATGCCAATGCAGCAACAAGCATACGCACCATATTGGGACATTCTCGGTCTGCTTTGTTCTCATGAGCAGGGAGAAGATTATCTAAAAGGAAAGCCAGGGCTGAACAATCTTCTGTAATTAATTCACTCTGTCCAGCGGAATAGTGGTAATCTGTGATCAACTTAGCACAGGGTGCATAAGAACGCACAGCTTCCGCCAACAATCTCAGGATACTGGATTTGGGAAGAAGAGGAAGTCGCTTCTCTTCTTTGTGTTGAGGAGTAGAGCTGAGTGGGTCTTCTTTGTTTTTCTTGGAGTCATCTCCATTAGCTGCTGCGCTGCTGCTCTGGTTGGTATTTGCAGCAGCCGCAGCTCCCTCTGCGAGTAAATCTTGCGGAATTTCTCTTGGAACAAACAACTGAACAGCAGCAATAGAACTCCCAGCGTTGTATTGGGTGGCAGCAGAAATGTTCCCTTCAGAAACTTCAGCAGCTAGCACACCCTGCTGTGCAATGTTATCTGTCTGCTGCTGCTCATCGTGTTGCATACACAAAGGAGTTGAAGGATTAGTGGTCGCTTCTTCTTTCTTAACTGGCTCTTTGGCAAGCGCATTGAGGAGGTCGAAGATGACGCTCTGGGAAACTCGCTCATGCATTGGTACTGGTGTGTGTGGACCGGTAGGCAGGCACTTCAACAACAATCTAGTGTCTTCTAGGTCATCTAAAAAATATAAAAGGAAGAAAACATTATTTTGAGCTTATGACAGCAACTAAAATAGAGAATAAACTTTTGTAAACACTTACATCGAGGTTTGTGAAGAGAAATATCCACTCGAAGAAGGCGTTCTGCAGTGGATTTGAAGACTTCAGGCTGGCGACAAATAGCTGAAGAACACATTCTGAACATGTACATCAGTTCTTTGTAGGTTGCAGGGATATTTGGCTGAGTCATGGACCTGAGGACCTTTTCCATTGCCAGTGAAAGAGTAGTTGATTCCTCCATGACATGTCGAATGATGAGGGTACACAGTTGTAAAAACGCATTGAAAGAAGAGGTCTGAGTGAGATCAAGCAGCATTCTGACACCACCCAACTCAGCAAAAAGACTAGCCAACTTGAAATCACGAGTCAGTCTAAGGCATACTCTCATGGCTGCATGTAGGGCATCATTATTAACTGGAATACTCAGTAACTGTACACATGCTTTGATAATACTGGCACAGTCATCATATGAAAGATTTTGGATAGGAGTATTCCGCTTGGACTCCAACTCATTGTTGGCTGCAGGAATGTCACTTTCGATTGAATCATCAATCTCCATTTCCATGCCCAACTCCTCTCGTCGGGAGCGTACTTCTTCACGGTAAGTATCAAGCATTGACATGATGACAGGGCGTCGATTACCACTTCCTTCATTGACTTGCAACATAGAACTGAACTGAATGACATAGCGTCTCCTGCCACAGCTTATACGGGCTAATGGCTCTCCACTCCAGTACGCATCATTAATGATTTTGTTGTTCACAGTTGAATACGGTGTCCATCTCCCGTTTGTAGGGTCAAACCATCTCCAAAGTCTGGTGGAAACTTTGTGCATTGCTTCTTTGCGTTGGGTGGCCAATGCAACTTTTTCCAAGAGGTCCAGCATTAACAACAATGGAGCAAGCCATTTAGGTGTGAGGCCAGACACATCTTTGCATTCAACTAACACAGCAGAACCTTCTTTCAGTAGAGTTAGCAATGGAACCAGTATTCCAGAACGTTGCACGGCCAAAGCACAAGGAGTGCGCATTTCATGCATCATAGGTCCTTCAAAGAGGAGAGTGAACAGATGAATTCTGACTGCTGCCTTATAAGCAGCAGGTGATACATGCAAATAGGTGTCAACTTGAACACGGGGGCTTTCACTATTTCTCTCACTATTTATAGAGTTGAGAAGGAATGACACTTTCTCAGATATTTCGTTAGTCATCATATCTAGCATCTCATTGCGGAACTGATCCCCATTACGTTTTGTAATCGTTACTAGAAGATCACACACTCTGTAGACAGTATCGGGCAACATGTCTAGAAGTGCAAGGCAGGTAGAAAGGGCAGAGTTTGTGAAGTTATCAATTTCTTCAGTGGATAGGGGTTCTGGATCCATTTCTTGATCCTTTTCAGCAGCTGAAGCTTCTAGACCAGTATCTCCAAGTGACATGGCAATAGCTCTCAGCATTTGATCATCTTCAGACATTTCTGCATCAATAGCGGCAGCAGAGGAGGAAGAGCGTGCATGAGGTGTGGGGTGGTTCAAGAGATAATCTGTGGCTTGCTCAAGGGTGGTACACTGTCCCAAGGCTTCCTCACAAAGTTCTCTGGAGAATCCCATGTCTAGTAGGGATCGCAGGTGTTCTTGATTGATTTGAGGAGCCGCTGGCTCCCCGGGCCTTCGCGCCAAGGCGGACCCTGACGCTCCTTCAGTGGTTGCTTCAGTTTTCTTTGCCTCTTCATCCTTCACTTGCTTTTCTTGCATGAGCTTCTCACCACGCAGGATATGGCGCAAGATGGCCAACATAGATTCAGACATCCTTGCACCATATGTTTTCAATGGTTTCCTTCCCCACATCAACATGACTGCATCGAATGCCATCTTATGGATGTTGCTCAAATACTGATAGGGGTCAAATGGCTTCTGCATACTTGCCACCTTGTTGATGGCGTGAGGGGAATCCAGAATGGCCCTAGGATTCACCATCTTCTCCAGCAGTAGAAGCCAAACATCAAGAAATTCACCAGTTCCTTCAGGCAGGTCTGGGCTTTCCAGTCCGTATTCCAGAGGAATGGTATACCCAGCAGATAAGGCCCAACGGAAAGTTCTGCAAAAATGTCACGGCAAAATAATTTTAAACATCCCAACAATAAATTTGAAGTTGAGAGATATATAGAAGATCGGTACTCACTCAAAGAAATTTTCAAGACCTCCAAAGTTGGCAAAATTTTGCAACATCAGATGGTATGGATACTTCTTCTCATCAAACAGCATGGGCGTGGTGAAGCCCACGGAGCAGATGAGGAAGGTAAGCCGCACCTTTGGGATAGGAGTAGATGGCAGCAGGCTGTAATCCAGACCTCGGGCTAGAAGAGAGTTCAATGAAGTGGCAACAGCGCGTGCACATGGTGTTGGTTGAGCTGGAGCATTGGGTCCTGGTTGAGTGCGACGGCGATTGATAGGAGAACCCACACACAGCTAAAACAAAAGGAGAGAAAAGGAAACCGCAATTAAGAAACAGTAAAAAAGTGGACACACTGCGTATTAAAAGATGACTGGAGTTGACCGATACCTTAACAAGAAGGCCAAACAATTCCGCCAAGGCTCTGCCAAGACGAGATGAAGCAGCAAGCAAAGGCTTGATGTATTTGAGTTGAGTGGGAGTGGTGCCACAGCAAGTCGTTCCTCGAGAAACTCGGCTTGGCCCTGCAGATCCAGAACCACCAGCGCCTTCCACCTCCATACTGCTACCAGGCTGCTGTTCTGTGGTACTCAGAGCTTCCATTGCAGAGGTCATGCCATTACTGCCCATGTCTGCAAGAGCAGAGCTGGAACCCTCAAGTTCATTGGCTGGTCGCAACTTCTCCATATCTTCCTTGCAGAAGTCCGAATCAGGGGGGAGTATGTCATCACTGCACAAGGCTAGAAGTAATGTGCTTTCCCACACAAGGGACACATACAGTTCTGAGAGGGCTTTCAAGACACCAAGCCCCAATTCAGAGCCCCAACTTCTGACAGAGATGGCTCTGACATCAGCCTGGAAATGGATTTTAGAACATCATAAGATGTCAGTGATTCAGAGACTACTAAGAAGTCAGTGAATAAAAAAATTGACAGGCATACCTGGCTTGTGCGGCACACATTGACAAACATAGCGACGTACGCGTGAGCAGCTGTCATAGCATGCAACAGTGGAGTTGCAGATGGTGTACTGAAAGCATTTTCTAGAGAAGGAGCTCGCACTAGTTCTTGGAGCAGAACAGAGCACAAACCACTCATAGAGCGAGATGTGTAAAGAGGTTTCAGAGAACTCAGTACTTCACTTAACTGAGTAAGACCTTGGGTTAATACGTGTTGATCATGAGCCAGATTCTGGAGGAAGGAAGAAACAAAACGCCCATTACGAAAAGATACAGATACAAATTTAAATTGTGGCCATCAACTAAAATACACATACCAAAATTGACTTGCAAACAGCGGACACACTTTGAGCTGCTCCCGTCACTGGATAGTCAACAGGGAGATTTGGAAGACCAAGAACTGACAACAGAGGCTCAAGGCCACTTTGGTTCACAAATTCACGGCAATGATCATCAGTTGAGTTGTTGCTCAGGATAGCATCGACAAACTTCATCTACAGAGAAAATAATTAAATTCATAAATATAAGGAAGACAAAAAGAATCAGGCACACAACTTGAGAAGAAAGATAAACATACCACATTGATAATGTAATCTATTAGGGCAATGGGTGTCTTTTCAGCATTACTACTTGATGTTGAAGCACTATTGATTGCGGATGACTCCACAGCTGACTGAGGTTGGTGGGAGGAGCTGGATGCTTCTTCTTCATCCTCATCATCCTCATCACTGCTGCCAGGGCCCTCTGTATTGCTGCTACTGCTGCCTCCACTGCCCTGGTTGTTGGGCGTAGCAGCAGGAGACACCTCTTGCTTGTTCTGTGCCCTCCAGCAAACATACTTAGGGTTCCGTCCAAGTGTGCAAAGTTCTTCCAGCAACTATCACAATAAAAGGAGAAAAGTATTAAAATGAAATAAGGCCACATAAAATAATGGCTGGCAAACTATTATAGCTGTATAAATATTGTACCTTTACGATAGCTGCCATTGCAGGCTGCTTCAGTGTTGGCTGATGCCTCATCAGTTCGTCCATAGCATTGCCCAAACTAGCAGCAGTGTCTCCCATGGGCTCAGAACTTCTCCTGCGTCTCATTGCAGCTAGATAGGCAGGTGATATGAGCACCTTAAATATGCGAGGGAATGGTTGGCACTTTTGGAATGCTTGAAGACCTCTAGTGTTTAAGCACAAAGCAGAAAACATATTTGGCAGGGACCCAAGAACCTCCCGTGTAGCAGGCACCTGAAATACATGATTCAAAAATGTACTTAAATAAATATCCATTGACAACATAAAAATTTAAAAATTGTCATGAGACAAACCTCTTTCACAAGAAGAGCATGCAGCACAACATCAGTCAAACCGTTGTCTTGGAGGGACGACAAGAGAGAGGGTTCTTGGAAAACATAGACTGTGACGACATCAGTCGCCAACAGAAACAGGGATGGACCGTAATACTCTGCGTTACTGATGATGTGCTTCAAGGAAGAGGGCAAGGAGCCCTCCATGACACGTCGGATGCTGTCTGAAAATGCAGGATCTTCTACTTGAATTGCTTTCTTCAAAAAATTCAGCATTGATTTGAGGAGAGCAGCTCTTTGAGGCAAGCAGGTTCTGCCCGTCTTAGCAGCACTGTAGTCGAAGTTGGGGAAAGCATCTTCCTCAGTTTCAGCTGGTTTGTCACTCTGTTCCGACTCCTGCTGCGCACTAGTATCCCCATGTCCTTCAGATGTGGAAGCGCCTTCAATTCCTTCCTCTTCACGCCTAAATGGAGATTCGGTTTCCATCTCTTGACTAGTTTTTAGAAATTCAAGAAAGTTCCAATTAGATTTATAATTTAGAAAGAAATTTAGAACTAAATTAGGAGAAACAAAGGCAACACTTACTCATCATAAATATCAGGACTCTGGGCCTCAGCCAACCTAGCTTCTTCTTCCATATCGTGGGGTTGGTGGCCAGGGGGCACAATTTCAAATGGCTGTTCTAATCTACATGTGTTGACTTCCATCTGTAACCAAATACATTTTTGTCAGAACTTACTCCCGCTCAATGCACAGTAGGCATACAAAACAATAATTATCAGACAGTCTACCTCAAGCCGATTGATGAAGCTAGTCAGACCACCATGGGCTTGGAACGCTTGCATTTCAATGTTGGTTATGAGGTCTATAACTCGGACTGCCCTTGTGACAAACTGCAAAACATAAATGAATTATTCCCTGTTGACACAGTACTTCTTCGATATCAAAACTATAAATTAGCAACATAAGGCAGCTACTTACAGTTATGTGCTCTAGTTCACTGCCAGGCCAGTTGATGACTCTAAGTAGAGACTCCATCATACCACAGCTGACAAGGGCCTCACCACCAGCTTCATAACTAGCTAGGTGATACAGGAAGCTGAACAATGCAGTAGCTAATGGAAGAGGAAACGCTGCAGGTTCAGTGCTGGAAGACGTGCTAGCTTGATTTGATGGGGCTGTTAGTGACGTAATGCAAGTTCGAACTAGGACAGGCAAGAAACCATGGTATGACCCTGCTCCTGTCACATCAATGATCATATTTAATCTTGCACCAGGTTTGCGGCTGGAATGGTTAAAAAAAGAAACAAAAATTTATCAGATTAAGGCAATTTAGCTCAATTGTGTTAGAAAGATTCCTTCAATATACACTTACTGAGGGAAGTTTGGATTCCGATCAAGGTGAATGATTGATGTGAGGGTACGAAGTGCAGCAGCTCTAATCTCAACCAGATCAGGTGATGCTATTTCAAGGAGCTCCACTAGTTCTTCCATGAGTCCAGGGTACAGAAGTGAATGAGAATTATCTGCTAAGGCATTGGAATATACCAACACAGACAGGGCTTGCAGTCGAGCTTGCACACATTGAAGTCTTCGCTGATAATTTGAGAAGCTATGAGCAAGCCGCAAATGAGTGAAGAGCAGCATCTAAAATTTTAGATAAGATTAATTAATAATTGGAAGTTTAACAGAATGTTCCAACAAACAAGAATCCTCATAACATACTTGTTTATCCTTAGGAACAGCAAATGTTGTCAAAAGCTGGTCCATCATTTGTGCTGGTGTTTTATCAAAGGTATCTATATTTTGTATATGGATGACACTGGTTGGGTTGCTAGTTCCTTTTGGTTTTGAAGTTGCCGGTGGATTCGCACCACTAATGGTAGCAGTTGGGGCTGCTGTAGCACCTCCTGCTGCAGTAGAGCTTGAAGCAGATGTGTCTTCAGCATAAAATTCAAAATGGAGAGTGGTTGCACTTGGAGGAAAATGCTGCAAGAAAAGTGTGAAGATAAGAAAATGGGGGAAGATGTGTTAAAAAATATTGGATAGTATCCCAAGTCTACTCACAGAAATGGGGAGATCTTTGCAGCAATCTGCCAGACCAAAGCCATTGTCACGGCCACCCCAGCTCTGAAAATGTAAACATGAAACTTTAGGATTCTTCCCTAGAGTTCTGACAAGGCACAATTGTATAATGAATTAAGAAAGTAGACGCAGGAAAAGAACATCAAGTACAAACCTCAGCCGAGTGAGTTAAGCGGCTTAACAAAGCTTGGCGTTTATCACTATCAAGACGGGTAATGAAGTTACTCCTTTTGCTGAACATGTAGAGAAGATTTAAAACACCAAGCACAACGTGCATATCACAGGATGAAAGAAGTGCCACCAATCTCTCCATTGAGTTGTAAAGATGTCTTGAAAAGGAATGCTCGATGAGCAATGTGGTAAAATGCAGGACCCATAGAAGCAAATCTTTCAACTGCAAAAAACATTGGTACATTAACTACTTTACTGGTACCTTTCATACACACAGGTGCTGTACATCTGAGCAAGAAACCAAATTAACATACCTCAGACTTATGAGGGAGATCACAAGCTAATGTCCATGTATTTTCACCCGCCCTCATGGCGGCTTCTTCCAGAATGCCATCACAAATATCTAAAATATCTATCCAATGATAAAGCTCACATTTTCCAAATGTCCATGAATCGATTCGCTTCAGCTCCTCCAGCAATTCTGCTGGGGAGCAGCTTCGAAGTTTTTCTATTAGTGCTTGACATTCTATAGGCTGCAAACAAGAATAGAGTAAGACACAAGAATATGAAATCAAACAGTAGTCCAATAAAGCAGTCACAATTACCACTTCAGAAGTGCTCTTTTTCAAACGACTTCTGTCTATCTTCATGATGATGCGGTTAGGGTATCAACAACAACTGAACTTTGACATTGATGTAAGTAACTGTACCTGAAACCAACCATAGGTATTACTTATTTCACACAAACGCCATAGGGCAGGAGTAATTTGTCATGATTCTAATCGGTGTGACTCATTGAAATTGGGCTAATGACATCAGAAGACAATGACCAGGACTGACTATGTCATGTTCACAATTTCACAACATTGTGGTGCCTTCTATCAAAGCATACGCAAAAGTCAAGTGATTTGATGCCTTCGATTGTAAAGCGAGAATGAGATATAGGGGACTAGAAAAAGGATGTGTTTGTAGGAAAAAAATAAATATGGGACTTGAGAAGAAGTTTGACATTGACAAAATGTCAGAAACATCCATATATGAAGAAAACGGACAAAAGCAACGTCTTTACCACAAACTCAATTGCTTGAGAGAAATGACCCAATTCAGAAAAAAAAGACAATATGACGCAAATGTAGAAACAAACAAGATGAAACTGCTTCTATGTCAAACAGGCCCTCTTGAAAACAGGTTGAAGTCAGGGAGATAAGGTAAATGCCGAAGTCCCAGAGTACACTTGCAAAACTCAAGAGGTGAGTCCGTACCTAGATGAGTACAGAAATGTTGAAATAAAAGCGATCGGCAAACCCCAAGTCTGATATTTACGCACTAAACCACGTTTTTGACCTCTCTAAAGGGACGTGCCAATGACATCAAAACAAGCCATCGGCCCATGGTAAGCGCCCACACTGTATTCCTGACGTAAAATAAAATTCCCAAATGATTGAAATAATGAACGAGAAGTGGGACCGGTAGAATGAATGAATATGACGCACAACTTCAATAGACAAGAGTCATGGTGAAACGTCTCGTCGGATCCGCCATATTTGTCACTCAAACAAAAGGCCGCAACTGAGCGTCGAGGCGAACATTTTGCAAATTTGTCCGAGTTCTGATAAGGAAACTTTGAGTAAAGCCACAAGAGGGAGCGCGCTATTACCTTCATCTTCCGTTTCTAGAACATTGATTACTCTAATATCACGAATATCAACACTTTGGTCGCAACCTTCTCACTGATGAAATGCTGCTTACAATACTGTGTACAGATGTCAGCACTGTATGAAAACAATTGACTGGTCAATGCGGGAACTGTTGAGCGGATCGGATGAACGCGCGGCGACCCAAACCGACCACCTTTGTATATTTGGCACAGAATGATCTGCGCAACCCGTTCCTTGAAGCGCAATAATGGTCAGGCTCGACCGAAAATCGGCGTTTCACCGTTCATTTCCGTTTTCGGCAGGCAGAAATTATCGGTCAAATAGAGATTCTGGTTGCTATGAGAAATTCAACGCTACTCACAATTAAATAAAAAAGTATGAACTCTCACGCAAAATCTACGGTTCTTGGTTAACAAAAACGCATTGCATTGGGTTCTTTTCTAAATTGAGGAGCTTATTTTGTGGAGCCGAGGCGTAATGATTCACCGTGCACAGGGAAAGCCACTGTCACGAAGAAACCTAGTTTGAACGATGGCGCCTTTTTAAAATCGTTCTTCATTTGGTTTCTTGGAATTTTCGACTGCTCTTTGCCGCTGCTGCCATCTGGCGGACGGCGTGTGGAAGCTAGCTCAGCTCTCACGTCTCCATGAACCTGTTAGCTGTTTGTTTTGTGACCGGAATTTCCCTCGGGATGTTATTGCGTTTCGAGTGTTTTATAGTGTCGCGTCTTTTTTCAAGAGCCATTTTGTGTTTTCGTGCTGTTTTGTGAGGTGAAAAGACGCAAAGACATTGCCTAGCATGTTCCACATTCTAGGAGCTTGTGTGACGTTGACGGTGTAAGGCGAGGAATTCCTGGAAGTGTGCGGTTCTCACCAACCTATGTGCAAAGCCTAGTGAACTGGATTAACTAGTTGTGCATACCTAGAAAAACTCACCACGTCGCGCATCTCATGGTGCATTGACAGCCAGTTGTTTTCCGACTTTCGGTAAGTTTGCCCAATTGTTTATTCATAGACCTTGAGGATCACAGTACTGTACACCTTTGAGCTTTCACAAACGAACAAAAAAAGAAATATGTTTGTCTTTACCAACGACTGACGTGAAATTTGGGTAGTAGGTGACAATTTCTGTCTCTTCAGCGGAAGTTGAGACGCTTGTTCCGATCTACCGTCACAGAAAACCATTATCAAGCGACATATTTCGTGTGGAATCTAACCTCACTAACAGGTACAACGCACTTGTGGTCCGGGTTGGTACAATGGAATGTCCATTCAACACCTTTTCGCACTGAGTAAATTTGCGAAGTTTAAAAGTATTTTTGCTCTGACTCCCAAATGGTCGGGAAAGTCATTGTCAATATGAACAAAGTGGATCAGTTTGTGTTGTTTTTATTCTGGCATAGATGCAACAGGTGTCTAGGCAGCTGCATGTGAGATTTAAAAATAAAACAACAGATGTTCAGAATTTACTAATTTATCTAAACTATTGTAATCTGCCTTTTAGAAGTGATGCCTCTTTGTAAATTATTATCCCGCGAAAGCAAAAGTCAGACCAGTGTGGGCTTTTTCATTTCCGATAGAAACCTTAATTTATCAGTAAACAATGCCTTATCATCATTTTTGCTGCCCACATGTTTCCATCTGCCTGCAGTTTATGGCAGGGTCTAAGAGGCTGGCTTTTCAGTATCGTAGAAGCTTTCACCCATCACGACAGAAATGTCATTCTGGAACCACTGTCGGTCACGCTGAGTTTTGGCAAAACTGCATCTGTTTCCGCCCTCCCTGCATTCGGTTTCGGGTCATGTCCGCTGCCGTCGCCCCCCGTGGCTACGCCGCTGCCTTGCGTTACCAGCGTTACGCACCCCGCTGCCTCCCGATCCTTCGTCGCCCCGTCTCTCTCGCACCAATGGGGCGTTCCGTATGGGTGCGAGAGAGACAGGGCGACGAAACGCTGCTGCAGCAGCACGGCCGCAGCGCGCAGCCCACTCCTTGTCTTGATCGGCGACGCGGTTTATTTGCTTTATTGTGCTGGCTCGCCTGATTTGCATTCCGTTCCTTCTTGTTACGTTGGCGTACCTGCATGGAGATGTCCTCTCCCCCCCCCCTCTCTCTCTCTCTCCTCTTTCGTCCTCGCCCTCTCCTTTTGCCGGGATGCGTCTGTGCGTCCGTCCGGACCAGAAGAGCAAAAAGCAGCAAAAAGCAGCGGCAAGGGTATGGAGCGAGCATGGAGGCGAGTCCGGGTGGAGGCACTACAGTGCCCAGCGAGGCTTGCCTGGCTTGCCAGTATGCCAGCCTCTTGCCTGGCCAACCGCACCAAGCCCAGCTACGCCCAGCTACGCCCAGCTACGCCCAGCTACGCCCAGCTACGCCCAGCTACGCCCAGCTACGCCCAGCTACGCCCAGCTACGCCCAGCTACGCCCAGCGCTAAGCCCGGCAGAGCAGCCATCCGCATAGTCCGCACAGCGTTCGGTCGGCCCGTCTCTCTCGCACCCCAACCCCAACGGCACGCCCCACGAGTGCGAGAAGGACGGCGAACCAGTCTGCAGGCAGAGCCAGGCAAAGCAGCCAACGCAGCCCAGCAAAAGGAGGAGTAGCGACGTGTTGTCCCTCCCCTCGCAACGCCGCGACGCACCTAAGGAATGGGGTATTGACGACGACGCTGCGGGAATGTCACGCCGTGAACTGCGTTGGCCTCGCGGCCCTCGCGGGATAGTGGTGCCTCTTTGCTTTCGTTTTGGTTTTCGCAGCGGCTGCCTGGCAGGCAGACGGCAAAGGCGTATAGCAGTGGCGCGGCTGCCAAGTGACCCCTGAAGGGCTGGAAGGCCTGTGTAGCTGCCGGAGCGTAAGGTCGGGGGCCTCCTTGATCGTTAACGATTGCCACTTTTCCTCCTGTACGACACAGTTGAGCCGTGGCATGGTACCGACCCTGTGTTTAACGGGTGACAGGTTGACGTGTTTATGTTTCGGCCACTCTGTCTGCTCTTCTTTGGACAATTTGAAAATTAAGTTTGCGGCCTTCTCTGCTTGCGCTCGGAGGGCAAATAAGCTCAATCCTCAAGACGGGTATTTTATTTTTGTACTTGTCTGGGGTTTCGTCGGGCGTTCGCCTCTGGCTGCTCAAAATGGTGTTCGCCCGCCACTGGCGGGCGGTAGGTGTGGGCTAATGTGCGTGAAATCCCCCGTGAGTGGGTGGCGGCGGTACTCTCGCCCACCCCACCCACGTAATAACGAACTGAAGCAATGGACCGCACGTACTTCCAGTGCAGGGATTTCAGCGAGCACTACCGGCAGCAGCCAACGGGCTGTGGCATAATGCGGCCGTTGGGCTTGGCGCACAGCGGGCCAGAAGACCGGCGGCGGTCGAAACCGCGGACGCGTTTTGAGCTCCAGAGTCGCTAAGTGCGACTCGAACCGAGCGTGTGACCCCACCAATGGATTCCTCGCTCAGAGAGCAATCCATTGGTGGGGTCACACGTTCGACTTGAGCCCCATTTAGCGACTCTGGAGCTCAAAACGCGTCCGTTTCGACCGCCGCCGGTCTTCTGGCCCACTGAACGCGGCGTGCGCGGCGACCCAGCCCAACCCCGCGATGATTTGAACCGCGAGATGGACACCGCGAGAGGGCATCACCCGAACAGGCCAACAGAAGCGACGGCCACAAAAACGGGTCGCCTGTTTGTTTACGTCGAGGCAAGACCTCTCCACCTCCGTATGGCTTTCTCCGTGTCGCGTTTTTCTTTGCTTTTCTTCCTTTTTTTATTTTTAGAAAAAGAAGTGCTGGAACTGGCTGCCGTGGATGGTCAAGCCCCGGCGGTTCAAGGAGCGCGGCCGGCGCGGCGGCGGCCAAGGAGCGTCGGTTTGAAAATCGGCTCATGGATCGATCGGGTCGGATGAGTGATGGACGATGCCCTGCTTCATTTTTCTCGTTTTCTCTCTTTTTTTCGCGACGAGAGGAAGCTTGCTGAAGGGCCGCGGACTGCCTGGAGGCCTGCAGCCCGCAGCATCATTACCACACATTGCGACTCCAGGCTCGCGATCGGTCGGCCGGCCAGAGCGTCACGTGATTGGTGGATGGTAATGGCGTCCCTTTAGAATGTCAAATAACGTCCGTCAGCCGAGCGGTTGGTTCGTCGTCGCTCCGTCCCTCTCGCACTCGCGGGGCTCGCCGTGAGACGGAGCGAGGCTGCGTGTGTCGTTAAGCCCTTCTGCCCTTCTCAACGTCACGCAGACTGCATGCTGCATTAATGCGAGCATTGTCCTCCGCGTTCCTACACTGGAGGGGGGGGGGGGGCATCCCCGCGTTCAAGTTGCCTACCCGGCCTGTCCGGCCCGCAGGGGCGCAACGAGAGCCCCCCCTCTAGAAGGGCTGCGCGGAGAAGAAGCCGGACTAGCGTTGGCTAGCGGTGCCAAGTGACACAAGCGGCCTTCCTGGAACGTTTTAGCCGCGCGCAGCTAGAAGAAAGCGCCCCGCCCGGGGCCTCTGGGCCCCGCCCCGCCCCGCCGGCTATATGCAGCATCATCGTCGTTGTAGGGCTCCACGAACGTCGGCGCCTGGACCGCGCGCCGGGCGTTAGTTTTTTGTTTTGTTTTTTCTGTCCTTTTCGTTCTATCATTATTGTAATGGCTGATAAAATGCCTGGCCCACGTGGTAACCGCCGCGCGACGAGGTGCATTCGAGCACCGCGCAAGCTGGACCTCTATGCACTTGGGAAACCACTTTCCGGAAGGGCTTTGGTGCGGTGTGTGCTGGAGTGTGGGTGTGAGACTCCGTCACCTGGAGGGGCCTGAGGGGCTCCAGGGCCAATCAGATTGTGACGTTTTATTGTGTCAACACTGGCGTTCCCCGTTCCCATCGCGAGGGCTGCAAGGTGTGCCGCGCCCCCGGCTCGGCACGGCCCGGCTCGGCTCGGCTCGGCCGAGCCTTCCCGGGAAGTTTGTCATTGTGTGTACCGGCCTGTGGGGCTGCGGGGCAGCGGCTCGGAGAGATTTTCCTAAATCGAAACTAAGCGTTTCGTCGGAAGCGCGACGAGGAGGCGACGTTCATCACGGTGTTTGGAGGGTGGTGCGGCGGGGCGTGGCGGTGTTGGTGCTGCGTGGTGCTCGAGGCACGCTGGGTACACTTTCATACTCGCACCGATCATGTCTTCGGACCAACAAATTTATTTGCTGAAATAAAGTTTCACCCGATAAACACACTGGCATGTTTTATTTAGCTCGTGCAAACTTCTCGACTTCCGTTGCGAGGCGCCCCGCCCCGCCGCCTTCCAGCAAGCCTTCCAGTTTCCAGCGTGCCTTTCCCTCCCGCTCGATCGCACTTTTCCACTTCATCGTCATGAGACGTCGCGAGGCGCAGTCCAATAACCCGGCGTGCTGTGTCCTCGCGTCGCCCCGCCCGGCCGTGCCTCGCCGTCTGTCTGGCGGTGTTTGGTGTGCTCGCTGCTCCGAGTGCGAGAGAGACGGCGCCACTGCGGCTCGCATTATACAGAAGGCGCAGCACGCGTTTCCGCCTTGTTTGTTGCACGAGGAGGTCGCGGGTCGGGGTCGCGCCGAAGGGACCCACATCTTTGGCTTTGACAGTGCTGCCCTCTTTCCGCGGCGAACGTGTTGTCGATGGCTGACGATTTTGCTGCAGCGCCCCTAAGCTTGCTCTACTGACTTCGCTCCTCCCAGCCTGTCCTCACCTATCTCATCTAACCTCATCTCCCCTCAACCTCATCTCACCTCATCTCACCTCATATAACCTCACCTAACCTCATATAACCTCACCTAACCTCCTCTAACCACACCTAACCTCACCTTACCACACCTAACCTCAACAAGCCTCCACTAACCTCCACCCGACGGCACCTAACCTATCCTGAGCCGCGTGTGGTCCTCCCCGCTGGACTGTGGCTGGCCCGGTCGGCCCTGTCCCATGACTTGCGCTAGCTGAGCTGGCTGAGCCAGCGTGGACCTGACGACTCACTTGTGACGCTGTGCGTCTCGTCTCACGGCCTCCGCCCTGCTCGCGTCTTAATCGTGATGATCATTACGCTGGGGCGACCGTTTGTTGTCATGCCGAGCGTTTCGAGGCTCTGGATTAGCCGCTTGTGTCTCGGTCCTTTTCACCCCGGAAACCAGAGAGAGAGGGGGAACGCTGGGGCAGCGAGTACACGACATACTTTGAAGCAGGTCGTTATGCCGTATTTCTATAGGCGAGTTCAGGGGCGGGCTGGATTGAAATAAAGTTGGCGTCGAATTTGGTTCCCGGCTGGCTGGCAGCAGGGCTGGCAGGGTGCTGGCAGGCTGCTGGCAGGGTGTACAGTGCTGTATCGCAATCACCTCCACCTCGGCCGTCTGCTCTCTCCATGACAAGACGAGTGTGCGCGTCGGTATGGGTCGCTGCGTGATATTTGTCGATGATATCGGAGGAGAGGGGGCGGGGAGTTTTATCGGGGATGCGCGTGTACACTGCTTGTAATTGAACTTGGAGGGCGGCGGACGCGGCGCGCGGTCAGTCCGGGCGGGAGGTAAATGGATGGATTTTATTTTCTGGTGGAGCTGTCTGGCTGCGCTGCCGCTCCTTTGATTTCCGTTTTGATCGCTGGACGCGCGCTGGACGCGCTGAAAGCGGGTTTGCATGTTGTGCCTCCCTCCGTGTGGCGCTCTTTGAGGCCGTGCCTTTGGCGTGCCTTTGGCGTGCCATGGTGGCACATGGCGGCCTTGCCACGGCTTGGCCACGGCTTGGCCGGGACCCGCCTCGGTCGATCGGTCGGTCCGCTGTCCGGCATAGCATTTGATTACGCAAACCAGTGCTCATCTGGTTAAAAGGGATACCTGCACTGTGGGAAAAAATCACAGTAAATCCTGTAGTGATTAGTACAGCTGTCACTGTAGTTCAGAGTACAGGATTTACTGTACCTTTTTTACAGGATCCACTGTACTTAGAACGGGATTTACTGTACCAGAGGAGTGGAGTACGGAATATCCTGTACAAGTTACAGTAAACACTGTAGCCAGGCACAGTAAATCCTGTGTTCTGAACCACAGTAAATCCCGGCAAAAAAATTAACGGGATTCACTGTGGTTTTTTCGCACAGTGTGGAAGCCGCGCGTGTGTCGCTGAAACATATGCTGAAAACGGCGGCACCTTCTAACGCCGCATTTGTGCGTGTGTGTGTGTGTGTGTGTGTGCGTGCGTTCTTCCTAGAAAGGGAAAAGTGAGCTGCCCGCGGTGCTCCCGTGTTGACCCGCCATTGTGTTCCGCGTGGCTCCACCGCTCCGTGCCCGCTCGTGCCCGCTCATGCCCGCTTAGGTGACAAGGCACCCCCCCTGGCTGCTACCAAGGCTGCTGCCCCCCGGCACCTTTGAAGAGATTGGCGCGGCGAGGTGGGCCCGTGCCGTCTGTGACAGTGTGTGACACAGTCTGTGACCCTTGAAAGGCATATCGCGGCCCAATCATCATCTCAGTCAAAATCGTCGACGACATGAGTCCGCCCGACACGGTGTTTGTGTGAGTCACCCTGCTGTCCATGTTTCTTGTAAGGCGACATATCGCCCTGCTATCGAAAGTATCCGACAGACTTTATCGCCCGAGGCGGCTCTGGCGGCGCTGGCGGCGCGCGCGCTGCCTGACTCACTGACCCCCGCGTGACCACGCGTGACCCCCGCACAGTGGGCCAGAAGACCGGCGCAGGCGGCCGAAACCCTGGACGCGTTTCGAGCTCCAGAGTCGCTGAACGGGACTCAGAGCGAACGTGTGACGTGATTGCTCTCCGAACGAGGAATCCATTGGTGGGGTCATGAAGTGCCACCGGTCGATTTTTCATGTCTGCCTCTCCTTTCTTTTTGCAGTGACGCTGCGTTTTCCGCGGCGCTTCGTCCTGCAGCCCGACTTGAGGTACGTCCACCGCCGCAGCTGCGGGGCGACTGAGAGAAACAAGCAGCGTAAGCAACGAGCTGCAAAAGTCGCCCCGCCAAAGTTCGCATTACTGAAGCACACCCCTGAAAAAGTCAGTCGCGAGGCCGTTTGCATCAACATTTCAAAGTTGTCGTTTCTTTGCCTTTGGCCTCTGCCTTGCCTGCTCTAAAAACGAAGAAACAGACTTGGCTCCGCGGCCGTCATGAGGTGCACTGTGTTGTCAGTCAAAGGGCCGGGGCAAGCCCTGTCACGCTGTCGCTTTGTGCGACCGGAGTACCGGACCAGGCCGACGGCCGACTTCGCGACGGCCCTTGGACTTGACGTACGGCGCGGATCGGATCCAAGATGTATTGCCGCGGTCGGCTTGCCACAGGCTTGCCTGCCGACGGGGCCTGCCCGCCGGGCTGCCCGCGGCTGCGTAGATTGATACAAGCCGCCGCGCGCCCTTTCCCTTGAATGCCTTCCAGGTTCCGTCCTGCAGGTGCAGGCTACGCCTCTGTGCGAACGAACGCCGCAGGCGAGCAAGGCCACTGGACGGAAAACCTCTGGTACGTTCTGAATAGCACGGAAAATTCAAGCACAGCCTGACTGTGGTGCTGCCTGGCGGCCTGCCGGTCTGGCCATGCGACCGGGGGACACGTTCGCGGTTACCCGAGGGGGTATGCGCTCCCTGAACCTGTGTACCGACTATTACGCTATTACGCTCTATTACGCCACAAATTAATCGGAATTAAGCTAAAAACGGCCTAAAACACACCAAAATTGATAAAATTTTGACAATTTCGGCTATTACGCGACTATTACGCGTATTATTACGCGTGCTATTACAGATAGAGTGAACCGACTATTACGCGAGTGCATACCCCCTCGCGGTTACCTCTGTCCTTATCGGTGCCTTCCACCACTAGAAGCGCAGGCCGCTTCCCGTGCGCCCCGCTCACCCGCTGGTGGCGGCGCCACCGACTGAAACGTGTCAAATGGGCCGGCTCGCTGCGACCGAAGAAATGGGGCCTGACCTGCTGCGCGGCTGCGCCTGATGCTTAGTCCGCCGGCCGCAGGGGCGGGGCACGTTCCCTGCACGCCGCAGCCACGCCGCCACAAAGGCCATGCTGGCCATGCTCATGCTCGCCCCTTTTTGTGCCATCACGTTTGGAGCGTTTGGCCGGTTAGTCGTGTGTCGGTAGTGCGTCACTTTGGCCGGCTGCCTGTGGCCGAGCCGGGCCGAGCCTGCGTGCGCCTCCCTCCGGGATGCCTCCTTTTGATGTGGCCACACTTTCCTCTCGTCTTTTATTCCCCTTTTTTGCGGCCGTGGAAAAAATCCATCCGCCAAATTGATCGTGGTCTACTGACCGCCCGGTGGAGTACCGGCGCACAGTGGGCCGGAAGACCGACGCACGCGCTTTGAGCCCCAGAGTCGCGAAACAGGACTCGAACCGAACGTGTGACCCCACCAATGGATTGCTCTCCGAACGAGGAATCCATTGGTGGGGTCACACGTTCGGTTCGAGTCCTATTCAGCGACCCTGGTCTAGAGTTTTGGCCGCCTGCGCCGGTCTTCTGGCCCACTGTGCTGCGGTCCTCGGGCGCGGGGTAGTGACGCGGAGGGCGGTTGCCGTTGGTCGCGCCGGGCGCCGCCGCCCTTACCTCCACCAAAACAGTGTACCCCGTGGGCGTATTGGCATATTACGAAGCTGCAGTATTTCGGGGACCAAGAGGCTCGCGACAGACAAAGGCAGACACGTCGCCGTACCGCGCTGTGCGTGTCAGGTTGGCACAATGAGGCCAGAGTCCGCTTTTGCAGCGTGCTGGCCCGAGCAGGCCGAAGCAGGGGCGGCCGAACGAAAGGGGTGACAATGGCTCTGCCTGGCGCGGGGCGCGCGGCGTAAGCTTCCAACGGTTTTGGCGCGAAACCTTTCGGCCTGTTTCATCCGGCGGCGTTCGCCTGTCATTCTGTTGCCGAGTCTGTCATCTTGTCCGCGTGGGTTCGTCCGTGGACGCACAGTAGATTTGCCTGAAGACCGGTGGAGGCGGACAAAATCTTGGACGCGTTTTGAGCGTTTCGAGTCGGACTCGAATCGAGCGTGTGACCCCCATCCATGGATTGTTCTCAAAACGAGGAATCCATTGGTGGGGTCACACGTTCGGTTCGAGTCCTCTTTCGCGACTCTGGAGCTCAAAACGCGTCTAGAGTTTTGGCCGCAACCTGGCCTGGCCCTTCAGCCGGTGGACCAAGTGGTTGGAGATCCACTGGCAGGCGAAGGTCGAAGATTGTCGCTACGTACTCCGGAGGATGAAAGCCTGGAGGTGGCCCTGGCGCCCTGGCTTGCGGAAGTAGGCCCGAGGTGCCGTTTCGGCTTGGGCGGCGTGGTGGAGGCGGGGCCTTCCGTGGCGGGCCGGGCCATGGCGGCGCGGCGGGTAATTTCAACTTCTGGGAAGCGCGCGCGGCCGTCGTGATCCACCGCCACGCCGTGGCCGTGCCGCGCCCTGGCGTGCCGCGCCTCGTCGTCTGGATCCGAGCGTCGAACGCCGGAACGCTGCTGCTGCTGCACTGGCCGGCCGAGCTGCTCGGTGTTTATTTCCATGTTTGTCCGGTACGGGACGCACTGGCTGCCGCTGCTGCCGTGCGGCTGTGGGCCTCGCTGTGGGCGCTACGTGTTAGACGGGCCCTGAGAAGGGCTGGGAGGGCTGTGCTGGACAGTGGACCGAAGCACTCACGAGTGCGAGAGAGACGGAACGACTCCAGTGTGCTTGCAGACAGAGCACGGCGTCGGCCGAGGCACGGCCAGGCGATACCCCGCGCGCAGGGCACTCCGCGCGAGGCGGACGCGAACAGGACCTCGTGCGTGGGGTATCGCCGGGCCGAACGGCCGCCATGGCCGCCGCCTGCCGCCGCGCTGCCGGGCTGCTGCCGACGGGCACCGACGGGTTGCAAAGGTTCAAGGCCGCTCGGTGGTTTGATTTCGCGAACGGGATTGTGGGATTGAATTTTCGAGTCGTGAATGTTTGAATGAGCAGCGTGTTTGTTCGCGTTGCAGTGTGTTTGCTGTGGCGTTGTGAGCCCGCGCGCACACACTGCCGTACCTTTGCCCCTTTTGACTGTGCGCGGCTGCCCCGGATCAAAGTGCACGCGCCGTTTCGGTCGCGGTGTTTGCACGCGCGGTACTGGCTGGTGTTTGATTGGATTGGTTATACAACCCGGTTCCATCCCTTTCTTTCCTTTTGAAATATTATTTTATTTTCCTCCGTGGCATACTCATGCGGATGTGTGCGCCCCCGGGGTCCAATGTCGCTTCGAGGCGCGCAGGGCTAATCCATTACAATGTAGCATTTTGTTGTGCTGACGTACTGACGTGACGTGGACTGGCGTGACGAGGCGTGACGCGTTATCGCATTTTCGGTACCGCATTTTGGAAATTGGGACCCAAATTGGGGCGCTTTACTTATCGTGACGGGCTAAAGTAATTGGAACGGGATGGATGGGATGATACCCTTCTGGGATGGTAGCCGCTCTTCGCGTGTCGTTGTTAGGTCGTTTAGTTTTTCTGTCGTTTTTTGTTTTGTTTTTATTTTGAAACAACGCCAGTGGCGTGGGTGCGTTTTTATTTCACAGCTGGAATGAGGGGTGATGGGGGGTGTGTATGTTTATGGGCATCTGCTGCAGGGGCTTGCCGGGGGCTTGGCACGGCTCGGCTTTTAATTGGGGTAGTATCGGCCCGGGGCCGTAAATGGTGGCGTTTACAGCCTGCCTGCAGTGATGCTGCGACCCTCTCCTACACTGTCGAAAACATCTTCCGGGAAGCGCGGGGGGGGGGGGGAAAAAAAGCGAAATAAAAACCCAAGGTGCCGTACGCGTCTGTTTGGGGCCCAGAATGTGTTTTCTCGCCCCCGTTCCGTTTTGAGGGGTGCGGGGGCTTTTCAATTATCCGCCCTCCAGCGGTAGCAAGTGGAATCTATGTTGGTCATGTCCACACACGCGCGCACACACACGCGGCGAGACGTTGCTAGGCAACAGGTGGCCCAGGCTCTGGCGGGCGAAGCTCACGGCGTGTACGGGGCGTTCCCCTCGCTAGAACCCACGCACAGACATGTTGGCAGTACTCCGTCCATGTTTCAATGTCCGCGCGTTGGTATAGGGACCGGTCCTCGCCCTTCCCGCCCGGCCCTTGGCTCTGAACACGTTGCCTTACAGGGTCCGAAGGTCCGACGGCGGTCTCTCGGCTCCGTGTGCGTGCGTCTGTGTTCGGGTTTAGATTTACCTTTGACTTATGTGATTCGGTCGGGAGTGTGTGGCGAGTGAGCAGAGGGGAGGGGGGGGGGTCGTGCGCTGAGTGAAACAATATCTCGGGGCATGTTTCTAACGAGGACGACCAATCTGTTTTTGTCGGCGGCGAGAGAGCGGCGGAGCGGCCGTCGCCGTGTTCCGAGCACGGCGAAGCACGGCGAAGCACGGCGAAGCACGGCGTCGTCGGGGCCGCGCCAACCGCGCAACCTGCGGCGCGCTGCCGATTGAAATTATTACAAACTGTCACGAAGAAGAAACGCGCCGCCGGAGCGCTGGAGCTTCCTTGCTGGCTGGATAATGACAGCGAGTCTTTTCCAGCTCTTTTTCCACCAGCCGCCTCCACCTTTTGCTCAGCAGCGCCGCGGCGTTCGCCGAGAGTCTCCGGATTGGACGCTTTGGTCACGTGGCGGTGCGGCGCGGCTCGACGGCGAGGTGAAGCCGTTCCTTATCAATCCCTTATCAATCGGCCCACGCGTATCGGCGATGATAAGGGCGTGGCGGCGTGGCGCATGCAGTGCCATTTGATTGTCGAACAGGATAGCGCCGCCTCTGTGTCCGTGTGTGTGTGTGAGCGCGCTGGAAAAGGGGGGGGGGAGGAAGAATTCCGCCTTCACTCTGCGGATTGGATTGGGTCGCGGCCGCGTCGTCGTCGCAGTCCTCGAGGTGCATGCTGCCTTGGCTCGGAGTCCTTGAGGCC